AATGTGCCCCAACTTATCAGACCCTGGGAGCTAAGCAGGGGTGAGCCTGCTTGGGATGGGTGACTACCAAGGCTTGTTGTTGTTGTTTTTACAATTAATTTAATCGCAAGGGAAGAGTGAATTATGACAACCACGTGGTGTGCTTTGAAGCACACACGACTCTCAATTAAATCCATAAAGTTAAGAGTCGAGTTTAAAAAAAATGAACAAAAGTCAGATGCCTAGTCCCGGGTTCAGTTATGGATCGTGATGAGCCGAGAGCGTCCGTCTCGTTTGTATTGTTTGTTGTTGGAACTTTCTGACCCCGTGCCCATACTGGACATGTGTGAACAAGAGCTTTATTGCTCATCGGATTCTTCCAGCCTAAATATTCTGATTCTGACTACGAAAATGCCAACATGACCCCAAGCTCCCCGTTCCCATGCGATGTATCCGTTTAACCCGGGGTTTAAAAAAATAAATGTTATTTATTATATTATTTTATTCTGTTTTATTTTTATTATTTTATTACTTCCCTTCTACGTGACTTTACCGAAAGAACCAAGAAGATGAATCCCTGCAGTCACGAAAGCTTTAAATCGAAATTTAAATGTTAATAGTTTGCAACTGTCTGCCGTAACACACATTTGACGTTATGGGAGGCCGTGACGTTGGATGTGAGATTCATTTGAAGTTTTTCAATGCAACAAAAATGATTTCAATGCAACAAAAATGATTTCAATGCAACAAAAAGGATTTCAATGCAACAACATATTTCAATGCAAATCTACGCGAGTAGCGAGACAGAAACAGTGGGAACCACTCGAACCAACACGGCTGAGAGAGGAACCCGGTTACAATGCCGACGATTTACGCCAAAATCCTCAAGTACTGTTACTCCCCTCAGGATCGACAACAACGAAACAACAATAGAAATAAACTACAGGTATTTAAATACAATATACACGAGTAGTGGGACACAAATAGCGCTGATAAGAGAACAATTCAGAAGCCAGACGGCTGAGGAGGTCCGGTTACAATGACGACGATTGGTGCCAAAATCCTCAAGTTCTGTTACCCCCTCCCCCCCTCAGCATCGACAACACAAATAAAAAAAATATTAAACAAAATCTACACGAATAGTGGGACGCAATTGGCGCTGAGAAGCGGATAATTCAGAAGCATTTCACCAACGAAGGCACATAAGTTTCAATGACAATCGGTGCGTCAAAAATAATTATCTCAGGTTTCGACAACAACCACCACCACAACAAAATCCATAGAGGCGTTGTTACACAATCACTGCCTCAAAGCGAGCATTACTCACGCGATTACACGGGCACGACTTTGTGTGTGTGTGTGTGATGGCATTATTGGTGGTGGGAGGAGGGTTTGGTACAATCTTTTCTTTATATTTTAACGTTCGGCTTAAGCTAATCATTATTTTGTACGTGTGCGTGACACGGCAGCGATGGTGGGTGTTTGTGTTCAGTGGCATCTCTCCCACTTTAGTATAACATTTCTTGCTGTGGTGTTCACACCTGATGATAATTGCTTGTGATGCAATCGAAACGTCGTGATTACATTTTTTTATTTTTTATTTTTTTAAATCTTTATTTTTTTCTTAATTATTTCTTTACCTACGTGACTTTACCGAAATAACGAAGAGAATGGTATTTGTGTTGTTCTTTGGTTTGGTCACCGCACGCGGTAACTGCGCGAATATTAAAACCCCGAATGTCAATCGGCAAATTCCCTGGGACAAGAGTGGCAGCCTTTCAACCACCCAACCACAACAACCACCACTCTACCCCCTGTCCCATCCCGGTATTGAGACCACAGTGGGTTTCGTTTTTTGTAATATATCCCGAGCGTCCTCTCACATCCCCTCCATTTGTGTGGCGACGTTCGCCAGGGCCGGGTCGGTTACGAAGACAAAAAATTACCCGTAAAAACTAAGTTTTTCACTATAAATCCTTTATATGCGTGGCGGCTAGAGTCCTCTCGTCCTCTGGCTTGAGATGGCTGCCACCTATGGGTCAGATGATTGCATTGCACCATTAAGCAATTGGTAATTAAATATAATATTTTTGTCCTAAAAAGTGTAACATTTTAAAAAAAAAATTTCACAAACATTAATTGTCACGCACAACGAGTCTGTGTGGAAAATGTCAGCTCGATTGGATCACGGGAAGTGGGTTAAAAAACGACCGAAAGATTTGCACGGTCCTAAACAAGCAAGCGAACTTAATATAAAGGATTTAAAAAGGCCCCTTACGAGGACGTCCACCTTGGAGATGGAGTTGATGATGCCATCGGTATCGCGTTGCGGGTAACAACCGTGGCAGACGAGGATGCCTGATGCACAAATGGATCATTAAAAAAAAACCTCTCCAGTCAGTATACCTGTCAACCAACCCCTTATCAGTGCCCTAGCTGATTACAGACCAATTCAGATACCTTATTGGTCACCCTGTGCCCCTTATGAATTTCAACTTTAATCCTACAAAATCCCATCACAAGGGAGAAACACAAATAGACATTCACCACTAGTACACTCACCGCCACTACACTCACTACATAAATGTCAACCCCTATCAGTGCCCTACCTGATTACAGACCAATTCAGACCTTACTGGTCACCCCGTGCCCCTTTTAAATCCCAACTTTCATCCTACAAACTCCCATCACAAGGGAGAAACACAAACAAATAGACAAAAACATTTTCTGTTGCCCGTATTGAAACGGCTGCACGCCGTATGGACCTGAAAACTCAATTTCTCTGTACAAGAATACGGGCAAACCAATGGGTTGACAGCTATGATACCTGATGCACAAATGGAACATTGAAACATAATTATCTCTCTGGTTAGTTATGCGACTGTGGTCATCCAGAACAGACCATATACAACGTATTATAACGACGCAATGCCCCGATCCACAAATACGAAGGAAGGCATCACACCGATACACTCCGCTTACTCCTGACTCGGTTATCTGAACGTGAGATTGTAGTTGTTGCGCTGCACCTACATCAGCCATACAAAAGAAGAAGACAACGCGGGTGATATATTTTTTTTAATCGAACAATCATGATGGCTTGCGTGCGGCAAGATTTCATCCAGCAGTGGAATGATCATGGCCGTCAGGTGTAGTTTCAACTCAAAAGTGCCGTCGATTTAGGGTCAGCGAGGTTCACATTCCTCGTTGCTCATCTCTTGTGCGTGGCGGTCTCCCATCCAAGTACTATCCAGGCTCAACCCTGCCTAGATTCCGAGATCTAAAACTAAACAATTTGTATTTGGGCACTTGCTGGACATCTGTGGAAAAAAAATCTTCATAGCTCATCGGATTGTTCCAGTCGAATTAAAGTTTCTGATCTCGGATGAATTGATCATAGACAGGTATACGAGACAAAGATTCCCTCTATAGCCTGAACAGACTGTTGGGTTAAGTTCTGCTAGCGAGCAGCACCTATGAAGGCCAGCAAGGTACATGAGGGGATGGGTGGCCAGCACCATAAACCGGCCTGCCTCTGCCTCCCCAGTGGCGATGTTTATACATCCCCCCCGTGCTAATTTGAGGCTGAGTCGACCTAGTGGAGGCCCAAGACCGGTTCAGGTAATAGTCATTGGTTTTGGTGGCCGTGAGCGGGAATTGAATTCGGGTCGCTGCGTTCGTAGCAGAGCGCGCTAACCGCTGAACTACCGCTCCCCACGGATATGCATTACACACACACACACAAATGGCTACGCATGTCTGTGTATACGCATATACGAGCCACATACAAATTCATGTCTGCATATTAATGCATTCTTATAGCAGGTGCAGTAATCAAAATGTACGCCGTGGAGTTGTGAAATTATTGGTAAGCAAATGGGAAATTGCAGTCTTACTAAAATGTAATCATCTCTACAGTAACAGTTCAATCAAATGTTCTTTATTTCACTAGATAGAAGCCCATTGAGTTGTGAAACCTCAAGATATCCACGCCAGTTCAAACACTGGAACCATATATAAGGGGTAAAAAATTCCATCTGGCAATGCCTCTTCACATGCACGCTGGGAAAGGCGCGTTTCTGAAATACATTTTTGGAGGCAATACCAAAACACATTTTCGGTTTCATAAATGTTTTGTTAATATGTAAGGGCAAGTATTGAAGATGGACCAGGACCAAAATTATAGGGTGTGTCTTTTAAAAGTACTGTATAGCCAGGTATATTTAAAATAAATACACACCCTATATAGAAAGCTAAACTCTGACTTCAGTGCAAAAATCTCATTACCGGGCAGGCTTAGCTACATTTCCATTCCCTGGATAGTTTTGAAATGAAATCTTTGACGAGTATGTGAATTTGTTAACGTGCGAATTTGCGAATGTTTGCCAATGTTTTCTCTCTCCACGCTTCCATTGTCCGCTGTTCGCCACGAGACGCGGTTCGTGCGACGACCACAATGCCCATTAAAATGTTACAAATCAAAGATGTGATTATTGATTGCAAAAATATATATTTAAATCGAGTGATGCAATCACAGGTCTGAATTGAAACTACTCAGCAACCCGTTTATATATATACGGTGAAGTATCCACCCATTCTGAATGGTGTTACACTATACCATGCGGTAACCCCACATGGTATAGGGTCACACCAATAGTGACTGATGGGGTTATACTCGTAGGAACCTCCTGGTTACACCAGCCCACAGGGGATTATTGTGTCCGTCGTGCAGGGTGGGGCTGGGTGGGGAGGGGAGGGTGGGGAGGGGCTGGGTGGGGAGGGTGGGGCTCGGTGGAGAGGGGCTGGTCACCCCGTGGTGCCCTTATAAAACTCAACGTTTAACCTACTCACGCCGGCTTGTGCCCGCCCTCACAGTCGGCCATATTTGCGGAATACACCACGCCGCCGTAGACCCTGGCCATTGACCGAGCAACCCAACGTTCCTACCAGCTCCCTCCGCAGGAATGTGTTTAATTCTTATTCTTTTTTTTTGTCGTTGCTGCTGCTGCGTCTTCCCACAGTTGGCCCGCTTCCGCGAGCTGCTCTTCACGTGCGAGGGGGACAACGAGACCTGCATGGTGGACAACTACCGTCCGCCACAGCCCCTGGGTGGACGCAAGGTGCGCGCCTCCTTCCAGTGAGGAGCGCAGCGGTGGGGAGCACGGAGAATCATCATCACCCACTGCCCGTGGCTTCCCAACCACCAGCGGGGAAACGCAACCCTCGCGCACACGACACCTGCACCGCTCGCTCGTGTAGCCCCTCTCCTCCCTGCACCCAGTGCCGGATTACGCTAGTGCGGGGTTCTGCAGCGTATGTTATAAAGGGGCCCTAAATATTAAAAAAAACACATCAATATGAAACACTAATTTTTAACTTGCATAGGAAAGTAATTGCATTTTTACATTTGCTATACCGCCGGATAATACGACAAATCGCTAACCTTAAACATCCACTCGTTCAAAAAAGTTGAAGGCGGTATAGTACTATAGTAATAGAGCAAGTGCAGAATCACTGGACCGGAATTGATAGCTCGAAAGCATTTAGAGCGGGGCCCTTGAAAGCTTCTAGGATAATCCGGCACTGCCTGTACCGCTTGTCACATGCCATGCCCGTGTGGATTATCCGCGTGTCTGCTCACGTTTAGGGTCACTTAGAAACAGGACCGCCAGTCACTGCGGTAGGGGGGGGGGGGGTTCGTGGGTGATCGGACACCCGTGGAAGTGGATTGGGTATGGATGGCCAAGAGACACCCACACAAAAAATACATTTGGACGAAAAAAATGACGGATCGGTCTTACGTTGCATGTTGCCGTATGTTGAACTTCTTTCGCACCGGACGTAGCCAAACGTGCTAATCTGAGGTGCGGGAGGGGGGGGGACGGGGTTAAGGACAATAAACTAAACGCAAAAAATGCATCGACCTAAACTAAACGCAAAAAATGTGTTGAGTTTAGGTCGTTGCATTTCGAGTCCACACATCGTTGCCCCTTTCAACAAGGTCACGTAAACGCCGATTTGTGCCGATGATGGAATTTAATGCACAGCCAGCGCGCAGTCGGCAGGCTCGGAATGCCGAGTCAGTTGCCAGTAATTGCGTAGATTGGACGTAATAACAGTACAAGTAGAACTCCTCTCATCCGTGATGAAGTGGGGAGTGTGCACTTCACGCATCCTGTGTGTAACCTAACCAACAATCACGGCACCCACCCCGACTCCCAAAGTGTGGCTGCGCCCCTGCTTATAAGGCCACGGATTGCCGCTCTTAAAGCACCTTTTGTGCTTATAGCAGGCGTCTAACGATGCCATCTAGAAGCGTGCCACCGATTCACATGTGAGTGTAAATTCGTGACACTCGCGAAACTAACATGCTCAGCATCACGCGTGTGATAACTGATGGTGTTATATTGTAACGCACATACTATACAAATTATAATACAATAGAGGCTATCGGAGTGAGAGAGAAAACAAACATTCAAAAGAGACAGTGAAAAGAAAATAACTAATAATCGATTCTTTATTCAAAATCATGACCACCCCCCACCACCCACACAACATCATCGGGCGCTGAGATGGGAGATATTTACACGCCTGGTTTCTGGCCTCGGAAGCAATTTGATGACTTTCAAACGCGGCTCAAATTGTCTCACAAGCAATGGATTCCTACATCTCAACGATGACACATACCCCGGTAAACCTGAAAACTCTGGGCCAACATTGTTGGAAGCATCTGTGGACCAACGTTCCACGCTTACTGGGCATGGACTTCCGTACGACACAATGTGCACGTGTGTGTGTATATATGATCGCTAACAGCACTTGCCCCTACAGTCTGTTAAGGCTATATGGGGGATCTTTGCCTTTATCTTTGTATACACATTGCACATGTACAGTCCGATTGTCAATCATCCACTGCTGTCTGCACGAGGACCTCCCCACGCCTTGCGGGCCACGAGGGGTTAAATGACCATACTTCACCACCCTCGTCAGTGTGGCTTGATGAAGGTGGGGGAGGGGGTGAAGAACAACAATGGATCTGCTACCCAACAGCGCCCACTACACATGTCTTTCATTGCGTGGTGGTCTCCCATCCAAAGCACTCTCCAGGCTCCAACCTGCTTAGCTTCCGAGATCTTGATGAGATTGGGTGCACCTTTGGGCGAATTGGCCATAAGCACGTATACATTGCACACACTTAATTGGCTATGCATGTACACGTCAACGCTTAATATAGCCCACATACAAACCCACGTCGGCATATGCATGCATTATTATAGCACGTGCAGTCATTGTAATGTAAGCCGTGTAAGTGTGAAATTAATGGTAAAGCAATGAGGACATTACGGCATAACGAATATGTAATAATCTACGCAGTAACATTTCAATTCAATGTTATTCATTTCGCTAGACAAGAGCCCATTGAGTTCTGTTGGACCTCCATTAGCCATATGTTGTAAGAGATATCCTTCTGTAAGTACTTTTACAATTGGACAGCTATAGTCTCATATCGGTTGGAGGCTTCAGTTCAGGCTGTGACACTGAAACATAATAACTTACACTCGCCAATTACGTTACAGAGTAAACTGGCACTGAGTAATTTAGCCCCACTAAACCCAAGATAATAACCACCACACACATACAGTATGTCACGTAATAATACATAAAATACACACATACAGTATATAACATACATTACTGTATATAACATCAGTGTAATGTGATAAACACGCTTAATTTTAAACACCTAATGTGCTTAGAGGTACAACATTACACGAAAAAATCCCAACCTGTAATCCGTCGCTAATGGTGAGCGACGCTCTCTAAGCAGCTCCTAAGTAGCTTAGTGTCTTTGCTTGCTTTTTAATTGAGTTTGATTCAATGTGGTACTTAACCCCTGATGCAGCTATTAAATAAAATAAACCCCAACACATTCATATGCTTGGTTCTTTCGGTAAAGTCACGGAGAAGGGAAATAATAAAATAATAAAATATAAAACAATAAAATTCTCACGACGTTTCGACTGCAACACAAGCAGTCGAAACGTCGTGAAACTTTTTTTAAAATATTTTTCTTATTTTATTGTTTCCCTTCTACGTGACTTTACCGAAAGAACCAAGAATATGAATCCCTGCAGTCACGAAAGCTTTAGATCAAAACCCAACACATTCGTCAACAACAATGTGCGGCATTCATAATACAAATATAAAATAGGCGACGTTTCGGACAACATCCCCTTCTGTAAAGCACAATGAATTGTACGTGCTATGAAGTCGGGACATTTTTTAAAAATGTGCCTATAATTTTTTTTAATTTTAGAGCCACGGTGTTATTGATGAACGTGTTGGTTGTGCCTGTGCGAATAGCGTCACCAATTAACATGCAAATATTTCAAATTATCCGCAAGCTGTACATCGATGTCAACACATACGATAGGGGGCTCAAACCCGTCAGACAGAACGGAAAACGTCTACCTGCAATTACGCTTCTCCTCCAGTCCACATCTAAGATTACCGTCACGGGCTGCCCACGACCAAACCGCGTGAATATTTAACGCGTGGCCGCCAGCTCCATCGTTGATTTCTGGATGGAATCGCCGCTCGAGTGGTCTGCCGATGTGTGTCGTACAATCCTCCTCACCTCCACGCCGACAGCCAAAGGGTGGACGTGTCCACGCAATTTGGCAATGGTTCAAGTTCATTTATTAGGTATAGCCCTGTGAGCCATTCGGCTCTTGAATCGGGTGCAACCGCAAAAAAAACATGAACAAGAAAAGTGAATATGTGACTAAGTGCAAACAGAAAATCCAAGAAAAGACAGCAAAATATTGCAGAAAAAACACCGTACACCAACGCTGTCTGCAAAAATCCCAGTGGGATGCAAGTCAAACAACAACCACAAGACAACTTAGATTAAGGCCATCAGTCTTACTCCGTACTAGAACAAAAAACATGGCCAAACCAGTAAACTTTTCGAAATCACCAAAAGAAAGCAATAAAACAGTTATCATAGGAACTGTGACGGAATTTTCACAACAAACGACAAACAACACGTACTGCCAAAACACTGCAGCCATAGCTGGCTGCATGAGTCACTCCACAACAGCAGCAGGAGCATCAATCGGAGTATTCTAATTTTTTAATGCACCTTTAAGATCAGCACACTAAATCAAAACACGGGTCATACTTTGCAGTGATCATCAATGGTACGGACAACGACACCCTCGGCTCGTGCACCACCTCCGCCGTTGCTGGTGGGCGATGCGACGCGGACGGCGTCAAAGTTTCGAAACGAACGAAATGCGTGGACCCATTGCGTAGGGCACGTGGTGTGGGTTGCAGAGGGGCATTGCGGCGATACCCATCGCTGTGCTGTACTTCGACGCTCTCACGTCCGCTCTGAGCCACCGGTTCGGGATATAAATCGCACACATTGGCAAAAGTAAATTGCGAATTACGCGAACGTTCTCAAAACGTTGTAACCACTCGCAAAGGTTGAACGAGCGAAAGCAACGCAGAGTCGGATGTGGACGCGGAAAACTGTGTTCGCTGTGTGTCCACATTTTCACCTGCGAGCTTATTCATCTTTCTAGAAACAGATTTACGATGGCAAACCTGCTTCCAAAATGTGGCCTTTCTTCACGCACTTAGCTGCCAGGGAGGAGGGGGTGGTGGTGCTAAAAGCACACGCACTGTTTAAACAAGCAGCATCGTGCAATCTGGTCACGTTTTATATGAGGGTGGCTTCGCATTGATGTGCGATGTCTCGTTTGTCCCAAATCAACTGCTGGAATTTTTTGTCTGGGGCTAAAGCAGATTCTCTATTAGAGTAAGGTGTACCAACAGTGACTTTGTAATTGAATGGAAACGTGTTTTTTCCCAGTGATGGACAATCATTATCAGTTTAATTAATTTGGAAGTTATGCAGAGTAAATTGCAATACGGGATTGGGCCTGCTGCTCGCATTCATTGATTCTTAATAGACTCGTGAGTGATTGTAATGCCTTGGGAAGCCTTCATCCAGATGGATTTATCGTGGCTGATTATGATCACGATCGTCATCATATGCCACGATCTATTCAAAGAAGAACATGTGGTTTGTTCCAGGGCATCCCTGATTTATCGCACGGCATAATATTTTGTGATTTAGCAGTATGTGGTAAAGAGAATATGCTTTTACTGTCTACTATAACACATTCCTGCGGAGGGAGCTCGGTCAATGTCCAGGGTCAACGGCGGCGTGGTGTATTCCGCAAATATGGCCGACTGTGAGGGCGGGCACAAGCCGGCGTGAGTAGGTTAAACGTTGAGTTTTATAAGGGCACCACGGGGTGACCAGCGCCTCCCCACCCAGCCCCACCACTCCCACCCCCCACCCAGCCCCACCCTCCCCACCCAGCGACCTCCCCACCCGTCCCCTCTCCACCCAGCCCCGCCCCTCCCATTTTTGTATGCACGACGGACGGACACAATAATCCCTGTGGGCTGGTGGAACCAGGTGGTTCCTACCAGTAAAATAAATGCTTACATGCGAATAGTTCACTGATATATTGTCGGGTTGTAGATCGTGTTGTCTGGCCTGACGAACTAATCTCCCAGCACGTGGGGAAAAACGACGGACAATCTTGGATTTTGATCATCGAGCATACGCAGTAAACATACGAGCCATCGGAGACACGGATAAACCAAGCCCGTAAAATAACACTTTGATAAAGACCACACGAAAAATACACAGCTTATATATATGTGTGTGATTCCACGAAACTGCACTCTTTAAATGCTAGCTTCTTATTCTATATTTCATATATCTATATCTAGTATATGCATCTGTGTGTGTGTGTTTGACTTATACGCATTCCGAAAGTTATTGCACAATTGAAGCACTAAAATTGGCAGCGGGCACGTGTAAACTGTCATGTCGAGTTGGTGTCGCGCTGGCAAAAGTTATCTTTAACAAGAGGCATGCACATATGTGCATGTCCCACATGCTGCACTGACGATTCTGCACTGCTCGGTGTAGCCGTTTGGTCACTGGCTGGCAGCTGTTTTAGGGCTTCCTTTAAAAAAAGATTATGTTGTTGTTGTTGCGCAGATGAGAGTTAATCGCTCATACATGCACATTAAAACAACATTTTGCGAATGTGATTCCCGGAAGGGTCTATCTATGCGTTGCGCAATGATTTCCATCGAACGATCTGTCCCGTGTTATCTTGTTAGCAATAAAAGCATCAACGAAATGGCCAACGTGTACTCGCTTGTGTCAGAGGGGGGCCACTTTGTGTTTAATGCGGTGCGGTTATATTAATGTTGTCTGCATTTATTATGTTTTTTGTCCGTGTTTATATTCAAAAGCCAATGAAATTTTAAACGTGGGCTTTCATGACCAATATAAGGATTAATAATTGAAAAAAATATTGGTCACAATATATCATCATAAATATAATATGCTTATTTGTCCAGGAAAGCAACACTGAGTTGTATGACTCTTTTTTTGCAGGGTCCTGCATTGGATATTGTTTTAAATATGTTTTAGCCAGAACTAAATATAAGAATAGGTGTTACCCTTTCTGGCAATACAACAGGCGTTAAGATGTTCAAACACCAGATAAATACAGTACTTGCCAGGAATCAAGACTGCAATAACCACACATACGTGTGGTGAACATGCAGAGAAACATGCTCTCATATTGTATGCATTGTCTTTGAAACTGATTGGCCTACACCAGAGACAGCTTTCTTTATGGCCTAGTCTCACCAGTGTCAGACCAGAGAACAACGCCAAAAGGCAGACAGCACAAAGACAATGCACGGTGTGAGCAGCGATATCTTGCTACTTTAAAATAAGTAATATTTAAAAAATACTTTTTTTTAAACACGCTTTAATGAAATGTACCGTACGAATAATTAAAGAACTCCACGACTCCAAGAAGTGGCCGCAAAGCTTGCCATAACGTAAGGGACCGTGGGCAATTATAGCCAACGTCAGTTTACCGTGGCCAATTAGACCCAAGCCGAAACATATCATATAAAAAATAATGTTTAAAGAGATATATTTTTTATGATAGAATATGAAGTATACCAAGTTTGCAGTCGATACCACATTGGGAAGTGGGTTAAAATTTATTTACAAGATTTGAGGATACAACATCAGACAGAGTGAGTTAAATGAAAGCGTGTAATAAAAAGGGTCCCATGATGTGTTTAGCCAATTAATGATTATTTTATACAGATCGGGCGAGTTAAAATGTGGATTGCTCTCCAACACACCGGTTAGCTGAAATCGGTACCACGTCGGCGCGTGCGTTCATCGCGTGACAACTTTATTCATTGCCCGTGTCGGGTGGAGGAGGATGCATAACGACACACACACTTTACTTACACGGCGATCTGACCCAAACACAGATAAAAAAAATATTTATGAATGAAAATATTTTTAAGACATTTGTCTTTTAGGGACATTCTTAAGACAATTACAGTCTACAGTCGTTTCACAGTAGGGGTGGTGGTGGTGGCGGGCGATGTTGCTACGTGGTTTTACCCAATTAATTTATTTGCGAAAAATATTCAAATTCGGACCGCGACGCCAACACACGCGGCTCACTCCTTTTATCGAATAACGTGACGGGATCTCTCACGGACATTACGATACAGACGGCGTATATTTAACACACTCGCAGTATTAACAATGGGGGGTATTAACCATGGGGGTTAACACTGCCGCCTTTGTATCCCGAATACCCGATGTGTACACGCCATACTCATTTAAGGCTGAGTAGACCTAGGAGAGGCTCAGAAGCAGTTCATATATCAGACATTCGTCACCGAGTTTGGCTTTGAGCGGCAATCGAATTCAGGTCGCCGGGTTCGTAGCGCGGTGCGCTCACCACTACACCACCGCTCCACTCAATAAGGAGAAGCACTGATTCACAAACGATGGGGACACGTAAATGGGCCCTCTTACCAACCCGCCAACGTTTCACTGCCTTGAGAAATTAATTTCACTGCCTTGAGAAATTAATTTCACAATTTGCCACCGTCTAGACAATGCAGCAGCTGATTCAGCTTTATCTCGTGCGTGAAGAAATGGCACTCACTTGCAACACGGGGGGCTTGGCTGCTGTGCAATGCCCTCTTTCCTAACTCTGGCCGTGTGTGACCATGGGCTTTTGGCAGTGTCCATGTGCAAAAAAAACCCTTGTAATGCAGTCGTTTTTGTTTTGTGAGTTGGAAGTACATTGTTAATAGTGCGTGTGCGTTAAACATATGCCATCTGTATCCGTAATGTACGTGATAGACCCCGTCACGTTATTCGATAAAAGGAGTAAGCCGCGGTCCGAATTTGAATATTTTTCGTAAATGAATTAATTGGGTGATTATTTTCGAGATTCCCCACTGGAATGCCTTGCGTCCTTCGCGACGGCTGACTGAATACGACAATACGTACTGCGAAAGCAAAGGGTTTCTTCCGTCTTGCTGAGGAACAGGGAAGGAAGGTGGCAGCATGGATGGCGATTCACAGATCTGGGACTCACACAAAGATCTACGTGACCTTTCCGAAATAACCAAAGAGTAATTCCTGCAGTCACAAAAGCTTCAAATCAAGTTTTTATCCCCCGTATAGCCTGTAACAGACTATTGGGGCCAGTGCTGTTAGCGAGCACCTATGAAGGCCGGCACAGCACACAAGCGGGTGGATGGCCACCAACCACACCCGGCCGCCTTTGTCTTCCTAGTGGCGATGTTTACACACCGCATCAGGTACTCATTTGAGGCTGAGCCGACCTAGGGGAGGCCCAGGACCGGTTCAGATGATCGTCACCGGTGTTGGCCGTGAGCGGTAATCGAACTCGGGTCGCTGGGTTCGTAGCGCAGCGCGCTAACCGCTACACCACCACTCCCCCCTCCATATATACATACCCTGAGCTGTTTGAATCGGTCCCACAATTGTGCGCACAGGTCTAGTAATTTGCAAGGCGTGGCAGGGTGAAGTGGCAGCTGCGGATGTGAAACGCCAAAGCGCTTGTGACGGCTGCAATTCAGTGTGGCTGTGTACTCCCTCCTCCGCTGCAGGGATTTCCAGATTGGATGCACGTCGCATCAGTTACTCATTTGAGTCTGAATCGACCAATTCAGATAATTGTCATGGATGTTGGCCGTGAGCAGGATTCGAACTTGGGTCTCCAGGTTCGTAGAGCAGCGCGTAAACCACTCTACACTACCGCTCCCCATGTGTCTCTCTCACACACACACACACCGTGTCTCTCCCAGACATGACAGGCGTGTGCCACCGCGAAGGCAAAACGATGTACAAATTCATCTTCTTGGTTCTTTCGGTAAAGTCACGTAGAAGGAAAATAATAAAATAATATAAATAAAAAATAACGCTGTCTTTCCGACAGACCTGTTCTTCACCTGAGGACGGCTGCTTGCGTTGTGGCCGAAACGTCGTGAGAATTATTTTATTATGTTTAATTTTTATTATTTTATTATTTCCCTTCTACGCGACTTTACCGAAAGAACCAAGAAGATGAATCCCTGCAGTCACGAAAGCTTTACATCGAGATGTACAAATTGTGTCGCAAATTCTGTCACATGGGTTCGATTGCAAAGTCAAGAAAACCAGGGAACCACAATTGTAGGGACTGATGAGAATGTGTTGCGCATATAGGATGCCGTGGTTAACAGCCCTCAATCACAAACTACTGTATTATGAATATCATATTCTAAGGTTTTCGGTAAAGTCACGTAGGTAAAAAATTAAAATTACAATTTATTTTACTTTTATTAATTTTAATTTTAAATTTTTACCTACGTGACTTTACCGAAAACCTTAGAATATGAATCCTTGCAGTCACGAAAGCTTCAAATCTAGAATGTATTATGAATCTCTAATACTTTAGCGGGCAGCCTATAAATGGATCACCCTGTATAACAAGAAAGCTAAAGCAGAGCCTGTAGTTGTACATGCAACGGCTCGTAGCTGGTGGTGGCTGGATATCGATGGTCTGTGGCAGAGCGCTCAGCTCACAGCACGAAACATCCTGGGTTCAGGTCTGCGTTTCAGTCATGCGTAATTAAAGAGGGGTCTCAAGTGAAGCGATTTTAATGGTCAAAGCCTGGTCACCTTGCAATGACTGCACACAGTCATTTTATAGAATTTGTTTTTCACATAATGTGGCATAATCCAGCTCTGAGGATGAAGTTAATGGTCCTTATTGGATGAACACTCTTTTCGCAAGAATTAAAAAAATGGACACGGCCCCCGAGCATGAACGAGGCCATTGATAAAAACATCATCGTAATAGAATAACAATCCCAATGATTTCACGTGGCAAACTTACGCCCGACACAGAATGGGAAAGCTTTAATCGAGCAGTGGATTGACAAAGGGCTGTAAATTATTATTATTATTAGAAGTAATACCACATAATAACGAGCAGGTCCCTAATCCCAGTTGTGCTAAGGTAATGCTTTGGGGCACAATGTCTATGGAGGCTTATTATTTATTTAGTTTTCAATCTGCTAATTTAACACAGGTGCAATCAAAATCAGAACTCACAAATGCATTCACTCTACCGGGGGAAACACGGCTGTCAATTTCCTGCGATGGGAGAGAGGGGGGGGGGGAACTGCATCACGCCGGTAACAACCGCGTTGAAATACAGCTCCAGGGAGGGTCAAAGACCCAGTGTAACCAAATACAACGTAAGAAGAAAAAAAACCGACGACTCCCCGTTTCGCCTGCAACGCATGGCGGGTGAGAAGCAGGTGAAACAGCACGCAACCAAACAACAGGGAAACAAAGCCCCTGTTGACATGAGACACAACGATGAGAGATTTGGTCACCTTCAAAATAATCACCTTTTCCACTTTGGGAGGGCTGCGGTCGTGCGTTTAAACCTTGGCGATAAAAATCACGCTTAAGAATGCGGACAATCTTTTCTATGCCTATATTTAATAGAAAATGTACGAGGTCTTTTTGGGTTAGATCGTGTAAATATATACATGTGTCGTTAAACCCGCCGCCACCCGACACAGCCAACTTAGTAAGGGTTGTCACGTTAACAGAACGTGGCCAATTCGTCACTAGTACAGCACACCGGTTGTGTTGGAGAGCCAAGCCACAACATTTACAATCTGAGTACAATTTTTGCCAGAACTTACAACTAGCTTCATCAGGCAACAGACAGATTTGTGGAGGGGTCTTACTGTTTCGTTCCTAATTTAGAGGCGTAGATGTGGTGACCACGCTTCTGCGCTCTTGTGCAAAGTGGGGGGGGGGGGGGTTGCTGAGTCAACGTACATTATGCATGTGCATTTTGCGAGCCCTTTGATCTTGTCCTTTCGTGGTCACCACATCTACGCCTCTATATAAAAAACGAAACGGACTTCTCCACAAATCTGGCTGTCGCCTGATGAAGCTCGTTGTAATTACTAACAAAACGTCGTACTCAGATTGTAGATGTTGTGGTTTGGCTCTCCAACACACCGGTGTGCTGTACGAGTGACGAATTGGCCACGTTCTGTTTACGTGACAACCCTTACTAGTTGGCTGTGTCGGCGGGTTGGCGGGTTTAACGACACATTTAGATATTTATACGCGATCTAATCCAAAAAAACCCTCTATTATGGATGATATCATTACACACAAAGTGTTCGATACAAATGAACCACAGTACCTCGCCATTCTCGTCAAGGAGCATAGACCATCAAGGGAACTCCGTTCATCCTCGCAGCGGCTTTTGACTACGGTCACTACATCGCGCACTTTCAGATGTGCTTTGGCGGCCGTCTGGAACGCTCTTCCTTACGATATTAGGAAGCCACTGGAGCTATGCACTTTCAAACATTTGTAGAGTAATAGCGTCGGCTGGTGGATAGCAGCGGAAACTGTGGTGGACAGACAGCACACACGCCGGTGAGGGCGTGATCACGTGGTGTTGGCAGGGCGGAGGAACTGGGGCAAGGGTCACGGAGGACCCCATCTGGAGGCCCCTGGAACCTGCTAGCGGGTTCGAGAAGGGAGGCGCGGTCAGGGCGGAGCCAGGCCGCGCTGGGAGCATAATAGGAGTTGAGAGCGGGGGGCTCAGGGCTGCCGGTTCTGGTGAGTGGACTCGTCTCCTCAGTCGCCGCTAGATATTGCGCGACCAGATAGTTGTTGGCTGTCTCGGTCAGCGCCATCACTGTTACAAGGTTAGGGTTGTGTTTAGGCTCGGGTAGGCGACTATGGAGAGCAGTGACGTGCGGTGAGGTCAATGGCTGGTATCAGAGCCAGATTCACACTGAGGGGAGCGTGTGCTCATTGAGGGGGGCGTGTCTGACACGCCCCCCTCTGTGAGGCAGATGTGATAGCTGCCTCCCCTGGTGCTTTTTCATTGCAGTTTCATAACGAGACCAGCAAGCCTAAATATATATACACATACGTGAAATAAGTTACCTGGAGTATGGAAGGCGAGGACATTAAATAAAGGGGTCGACAAACATTACATTGGTGACACACTGAGAAATAGTAACAGGCACGAGCTTATTGCCCGCGCTCCATCCAGTTTCTGAGGGGTTGCGCAATCAGAGGGGAGGCTGAGCTCGTCGCTGCCTCACCTCTCATCGCTCCCTGTATTTGCAGCGGAGCTCCGCAAATTTGGCGATTTTGATTATAAAAATGATTGGAATCGTACAGCAATGCCATTTATAACACGGATCAGTGGAAAAAAAAATCTACATTTTTAGTTTATTATTTTTTACTTTTCGTAACAGCTATTTCTATTCGAGTTATGACAGGTGGAGGCTGTGCCTGCCCTGCCTCCCCTGACCGCACGCCCCTGATGGAGAGTGTGAGGACAAACCTGTGAAGTGTGGACTTGTCAATAAATAAGGTGCCTCCTGGAAACCCTTGCATAGAACACGTGTTTATCTGTGGTGGTGGTCGTCTGAAGTCAGTGGTGAAATCGCATGTACCAATATCGGGGGCCTCTCCGTAGCATGACCAAATTTTACATCCCCAAACACTGGTGCCCATTATATTATCATAATAGAATTAATCAACTTCCAAAAGTTACAAAACTGGCTGTGAGGTCAACTGAAATTTGTACATTAATGTTAATTTTAATATCCTTGCTATTTATAACTGCCTTTTTGAGCTGCGTTGCTTAGAAACTTACCAATGCATGCCCACTGCATAATTGCCACACCACAAAACATATAAGTTAGCAGAAAAGGAGCATATCAAGTCAATCAGCCACTGCACGGCTTTATCACTCCAACGAATGCTTTTCAAAATATTTACGATCTCAACAAGTTGCAAAAACAGATGTAAAAAGTAGTTTCACATACGCAATTGATTGCACAGCACACATCGATCAACAAGAGCACAGATGTCCAGAGTGTGTTTTATTAGCGAATGGTGAGTGAGCCGATAAACACCTGGACGTATGGTTCACGGCCAAAGCAAAAACTCAACTCAAAACCCCATTAGGATAAGGAACAATAGAACCTGCCCACAGAGCCACTTGAAAACCGATCTCCATTCTGCTCACAAGCAAACGAGAGCGATTCCACCTGCTGTTTTACACAACAGAACCAACAGGCTGGTGAATCAGTTGCAATTCGCACATTTGCTCACATTCAATGCGGACCCGCCAGTCAATAACAAATCCCTCAACTCTCAAAGGCCACCCACACACACACAGAACAGTGAGCACCACAACCGTATTTCTAAACTGCACATGTCACAGTTATATTGCATAATGCAGGCTTTTTTGACAAAACCAAGGTGAGTTCCTGCTCAAAGTCACAAATGAACACCGTAACCCCCCCCCCCTTCCCTCTTTGAAGTCAAACGGACTATTGTTTTTTCGACGGAACACTTTAATAAGCGCTGGACTCGGAAACTGCATTTCTTCCTGGTAAGTTGGTTTTGAGAGATTAACCGTCTGATACCATGAATAACCTAACTTAGCCCCTGGCCGATTCAAGTTGAGATTTAAGCCATGCCCAGATGTAACGGTTTAGCGCAATGCATGGGTTGCCGGTTCAATCTCAACAGCGGGAAATTTTCAAACAATGCTTGCAAGTTTCTTAAATCTCCCCCATCACCCTCTGTCCTCCCGGCAGTATAAATGAGTTGACCACACACAGTTAGTCAACGCTAAGGGTTGCGTGGCGGAGGGTTAAAGTGTGAGTTACTCCCACCTCTTCCAAACAATTCTGGTCAGCGTGGAAGAATATGCCACATATGGCTGTAGAGGGGGCTTCTCTCTGGTTGTTTTGTTTAGTAGAGGTCCTTCCACCAGCAAAGGTGTGAGCAACTACTGTAATTGCAGGGCTGCACCTTTACCTTGTTTGTCATTAGTAGTGGCCAGTGTGAGGAGTCCCAATTACAAGGCTCATTTACCGGACTAATGCCCGGTTGCCTGGTGGCTAAGCTCCACTCTGGCAGAAGCTTAAAAACGGCTACATGCTGCCACGTTTTTAGATTTATCCTTCTCTGCAAAAAAACAGATTTCGGGTTTTAAAAAAATTATCCCCAATGTACTTATGCCAAATATTTTTCATTGAATTTTTTTTTACATTTTCTTCCTCTGGCCAATATCACACCATGATCAGTATCCATGCTTCGTCCTTTTTTCGTCAATTAGTTGACTCACATAAAAGCACTTATTTTGGATCACACTTCTGCTTTTGAAGAATTGTATATAACACCTGCTTAGATTAATTACTGTATATGAACATGAATTAATGAGCCACACTACCAGCAGTGCTCACTAGTTATGCTGATGTGCGTCAACTGCCATCAAAGAGAGCTGTGTGGGCTAACAAACCTCAAGAGCACACCGTGTAGTCTCGAAATGTATCAAGGCTGCGGTGTATGTTGCCTCATCACTGTCAACAGCTATGATCAATCCAATAGTGGATAAAAGCCTCCCCCACGTGGCATCTCCATTCCTCGATCTTGCGATGACAATTTATCCATCTTTGCTACATCTAGCCGGCGGTAGTCCTGTTGGGCGCGCTCTCTATTTAGGCTGCATCACCTCATCCCCATTGGACTTCCAGTTTGTCAGAACGAGCTCCCTGGACAGAAGCTTCCTTCACTCTGCTGTCCGGACATGGAACTGCCTCCCCGAACACATTGTCAGCGAGATCACCGATTCCGGTGGTCAGCTTTCAAATGCCAAGCGCATGGGCATCTCCTAACTTCAGCACACGCCTTGTAGGAGTGAGCATTTGAGCTGCAGTGAACCAAGTATTATGCCAATTAGATGTACCACTGTCTAATATGGCTGTTGTTCACAATTGCACCCAATATAAAAAAATATGTGTACAATTCACATCACTTAATGCGTTCATTATTTGCAATGACTACATCGTAACCAAGACTCAAGGCTAAAGCGTGTGGAAAAAAAAGTAGTAATAACTTGATGCTCACATGAGCATGGGCTTGCCATTCACCTTCTGTTAGAGCCCTGAACCAGTGGTATAAATTCACCATTCCTTTGGCAGGGGTGAAACTTACATCGCGATATTCACTCGATGGAGCCCCGACAGGTACAGGGCTGAGTCGACCCCAGTCGGGATTTTAACTCTCAAACTTTCCAACTGTCCCTTCTATTCTGTGTGCCACCAGTCCAGATTGACTTAATATAACCAAACAGAATATTTACAAGTATTGCCATGGTTTGTAAATCAGGTAGCCGGCTTGCTGAGCAGCAAAACCAACTCAGAAAAGTGAGAATCCTATTTATACAAAACTACAATATACACTAGAACCCAAAAGAAAACGAAGATACTACACTGCATTTACAAAGAGGGAAATACGTTTCCTGGAAATACAGCACTCTTTAGTTTTATATACACACACACTTAGGACATCGAGTCTAATCCTGTCGCCGTTACCCATGGGGGCGGACACCTTTCACGAGCTCGGGCCATGCTTGCTGCACACCCAGCGCAGGTTGGATCCAGGCTCGGTGGGCTCTTGCACGGAACGCCAGCTGCACTGGCAGGCGTACGCCCGCGTGCCCGTGCGCCGCACCAGCCTCGCTCGCAGCTTTTCCACGTCCGGCATGTTGTTACTGCAAAGACAAAGATCCCCCGTGTAGCCTTCGCAGACTGTAGGGGCAAGTGCTGTTAGCGAGCACCTATGAAGGCCGCCACGGCACACGAGGGGGTGGGTTTCCAGCACCTCGTCCGGTCGCCTTTTGTCTCCTTAGTGGCGATGTTTACACACCGCACCAGGTACTCATTTGAGGCTGAGTCAATCTAGGGGAGGCCCAGGACCCGGTTCAAATAATCATCACTGGTGTTGGCCGTAAGTGGGAATCGAACTCGGTCGCTGGGTTCGTAGTGCAGCGCGCTAAGCGCACCACCACCGCCAGCATCACCACAAAAAGACAAAGTCACACAAACATTAATTCGTTAAATGTTCTGATCCGAGGCAAAATAGTCTAATCCATGAGGATGTCTTCCACTGCTTTTTTAGTGTCTGTACGTTCTTCCTTGTTGAACATCATTTAGCATTGACCATGGACCAGGAGAGAAATCAGTACCACATAAGGTAGCACAATTTTAGTAGTACCAATTTGTTTAGTTGACCAATAACATTTAATCGTTTCATAACCCACTCATTTCAAATGGTTATCACGTAATCCATTGCTATTGGTCATGTAAAGAAATTGGAACCTCTAAAGTTGTGCCACTTTAGTTGATACTGAGAAGTGCAATGCCTGGCCTGGGCTTATTCCTCTCAGTCTTTTGCCAAATAATCTTCCGTCGATGGACTTCGGAAAGCCCTCTCACACCAATCGCCTCCTTCAGCTCCTTCCATCTCACTGCCATCTGCTCAATCCAGCTTGTGCTCTTATTCTTAATTGTTAAAACGAGTCCACGTACTTCTCCTTTTCTTTTTTCTGTCTGGCTTTTTTCATAACTCTCCCCCAAATCCACATTTGAAAAATTTCATTCTAATTGTATTATTTCTAATTGGCCACGCCTCACAGGCATACATTGCCAAACACCCATCCTTAATTTAATATTACAGGTTGCAGGGGTAAGTGCTGTTAGCATCTACGACGGCCAGTACGACACCTGGGGAGTGGTGAGGCCAACAACACGCCCAGTGGCCTTTTCTCCCTGGTTGCTGATGTTTACACAACATATCAGGTGCTCACTGAAGGCCGAGCGGACCTAGAGGCTAGATCCACCACCGGTTTCAGCCACAAAATACAGGCCACAGCGTTCCTCATCCAGTTCATGACCCACTGTATCACTGCTCCCCCCTGCATCGTTCAAGTGTAAACACACAACTGTACATAAAAACAAACACAGGCACTCGCATATACAAATACACCCACACGTACACGCAAGCAAATGCACGTACTTGTACAAACAATATGAATATAATGCATACAAGACACAGATCCCCCAAAAAGCCTTACCAGAATGTTGGGGCAAGTGTTGTTAGCGAGCACCTATGAAGGCCGGCACGGTACACGAGGGGGCGGGTGGCCAGCACCACGCCCAATAGCTTTTGCCTCCCCAGTGGCGATGTTTCTACGCAATACACCAGGTACTCATTCTGAGGCTGAGTCGACATAGGGAGGCCCAGGACTGGTTCAGATAATCGTCACTGGTGTTGGCCGTGAACGGGAATCTTGCCGGGTTCGTAGTGCAGCGCGTTATCCACTACACTACTGCTCCCCACAATGCAATGCACAAAGGAAGGATATAGATCCCCCGTATAGCCTTAACAGACTGCTGGGACAAGTGCTGTTAGTGAGCACCTATGAAGGCTGGAACGACACACGAGGGGGTGTGTGGCCAGCACCACACCCGGCCACCTTTGTCTCCCTAGTGGCGATATTTACATACCACGCCAGGTACAAATTTATGGCTGAGTCGACCTAGGGCAGGCCAAGAACCAGTTCAAATAATTGTCACTGGTGTTGGCTGTGAGCGGGAATCGTAGCGCAGGAATCGAAGCACAGCTCGTTAACTGCTATACTACCACTCCCCACAATGCAATGCGCACGCACATATACACACGCAAGCAGGAATAAGCATCCGCTTACAATTACAAAGCGACGTGTGTCATGCAGTGAGAAGGGAGTGCTCACCGAAAGAAGAGGTAGTCACACGAGTGATGCCACTCCATGTTGTCAAATGTCACCACGCGGAAATCACACACTGTGCAGTGCAGCCTGTCACATGCCCTGCACCACAGAAACAAACTCATCAGGCTGTCCAAATAATATTCAAATCAATCAGTAATTCAATCGAAACACCTCCTAGCTCATCATTCACGCCATCAAGCAGGCAATCAAGCAATCAACTATGACTTGGAAATCAGTTTTACACCCAGTCAGGAAGGAAATGTTTTATTCAGAAGAGCGCACGAATGACAGAACACCACCTCAACAGTTGCACCCACTCGTAAGAAGGCTGGAGGGGAAGTAATAGTAATCATGATGATGATGATGAATGTCAAACCCAAGTATTAATTCATTACATACAGGGAAATATAAAAACTATAGAGTGTTTACCATGTTATTGTGGAGGATGACGAATGGGTTAGGGTTATATGCAAACAGAATCTTCTAGCGATCCAATCAAATATTTGTTCAATCGTGCAATACGGCTGCGATCAACTGTTGGCTGCCCTGAGCTAGTGGCGAGAAAATGTCACGCACATTTTACAAACACTGTTGGCTTCCCACAAACTGGTGCTCATTTTATCGATGCCAGGCAGATGATGAGCCGAGCTGATTCCCGAACAGGAGTTGAACTTGATTTGAAGCTTTCGTGACTGCAGGAATCCATACTCTTTGGTTCTTTCGGTAAAGTCACGTAGGTATAAAATAAAATAGATTAGACCTGATGATGGACGCTTGTGTTGTGCCCGCAACGTCGTGATCTATTTTATTTTATACCTACGTGACTTTACCTAAAGAACCAAAGAGTATAGGAATTGAACTCGCAACCCTTCAAAGTGCGATAACCACCATGCCACCCAGTTGGACTGGAATAATGACAGTCGCATTTTACTTCCAGTTGTTGGTGAATCAAGCTGCTCGTACACGGAATGAATTCCGTTTCCCAAGCGTAGGTTAATCACTGAGCAAATCAATTACAGTTCATTGGATTCTACATATACAAAAAAATTGCAATTAGCCAATCAGTCACTCAACCCAATCTCCACCACAACCTACAAATAAAGCAGATATTTGTTCAATGTACCGGGACAATTTCTGTGCATATTGCTTCAAAATGTTAATAGTACTCTTTGATGCAACAGAAAGGCAACAGAGGGAGATGCATAGAGAAGATGGGGATAAAGGACGTATAAATGTTAAGGTTTGGGGTAAGATCAGCATATACAAAATCTTATACGAATGGCAGAATGCCGATATTTTATTCTGACATATGAGAAAGCCAAATTGCACACAATAAAATTGACAAAAACCTTAGATGTCACGAGAAAATCAAATCAATGCTTCGACATGTAATGAGGTTTTGCAGAATACAAGTCATTTATGATGTTCAATATGCAATACACCGTAATATCTAAGGGGATGCGTGATTATAAATATAAAATAGAACCTTAAAAAGTAATGTTATATATGGGTTTCCCTAAGTTCTAATAAGTAGCAGAAATAAATCACGTGTTCAATGGTAAATCTACACAGCATTGCACCAAAATATGGGGAGTTTGTTTTGGACTATGAGACCTCCTTTACCAGTGGCAAAATATAGTAATAGGTTTTTTACCCTTTCAACTGGTACAAAACTGACACCTTTATACAAGGGATCATGTTTGCAATAACCACAACACAAGCAGTCAAAATGCATTGGAACATTGTGTTTTTGTTTCCTGTTCACGTACTCTTATAAAACATTTACACGCATGTGTGTCAAGCAATGAGTCATTGTAAGATAATAAATGTAACAAAGCTTACGCAAAGATAAAAGATGAAGAGAGGATGAAATTTTATTCCATGACACTGGAGCATCACGTGTATTAGATTCACTCCTAGGATGTGGCAGATGGATTTTGAGTCATGTCTCAACTGGCATGTTCTATCTTGTGGACTTAGCAATTTCATAAAATGCAACTGTAAGGACTTATAAATGTGCCTTGGAAGAGCAAGTTAAATCACCACCACAATTTTCTTTGAATGACAATGGGAGAAAACTAAAATAAGTGCAATGTTAATTGGAGACATTGGATGTAGTGGGGTATTTAAAGTTGAGATTGGGCTGAACATGATGCAATCAAGAATAGCCATTCAGGAATAAGTGGAAAACTCATTTAAATTTTGTCATGAAAACCTAACATGAATGCTTCAAAATGTAATGAGGTTTTGTGAATGCAAATTATTGTTTAAAAATGAGCATAGCCATTTTTAAATGTAGTTTTGCATTCAGTCCGTACAAGGTGTTTTAAATAGCTGAAGAAGCATTCTCAATTTGGACACACACACTTTCTTCTCAGTACTGTTAAAAGCAAAAAACTGTATTAGAACAGCAGCAATGGGGAACAAAATATGGAATGGAATGTTATTTTCACAATGCAATAAAAAAACGAAATCGTTATAAACCGAATTGGAGAGAACAAAATGTTTTTGGAACAAAAAAGGAATATTTGCAAAAAATTCCCATTCCGCTCTTGACTTAATTGTTATGTAGCTCTGGAAATAAAACTGCCTGACAAACTAGATTACATCTTTAAAATGTGCGGATCCCTGCTAGGTTTGTGCAGCCCTTCGTGAAATACTAAGAGAACGTTAATAATAAATGTTGTACATTGCACGCAGAGTGCTCTGGCAAATTGGAATTTTCAAACATCATCCAATCCCTTGTAAAATGTTCTAAATTCAGACAGGTAGCAGCAGCAGGACAATTCCAATTGCATCTCACAGAAATATGCATTTGACAAGGGAGGAGTGATCGAATGCTCTGCAGCTGAAGGTTTTTACCATTATGCCTTCATATGTACAGTTTTATTTTTGTTGTGCAGCATGTGTCGATGTGAGTATTGGAATGTACGGTCAGAAAATCAACCTTTAATATAGAGGCATATCAACAACTGTGATTGCAGTGAAAATTGGGAATGTTTATAAACAAATTTGGACATTGAGTTGTCTTACTCATGGACTTACATACTCAAAAGGTGCAATCATCAGCTGAGGTCTAACTTCAACAGTTCCAGACCACGCACGTGCTTGACAGCATCGTACGTAGCCAAACGTGCTAATTGGAGGAGCGGGAAGTGTGTATGTACGTTGAACTTATTTTGCATCATATGAAGCCAAATGTGGTCATCGGAGGAGCAGGAAGCATACGAAGCCATTGCAAAGATGAGGTGGACTCTGTTCCCCTAGTCAGCCCAAAACCCAGAGATGGAACATTAATTTCAGTCCACTGAACGATAGCCCTCATGAACAAAATTCTGACAATGTCATTGCCATAAAGGAAATTAGCCAATGGCTGCATGCTGCTGCCAAATATATTCCCCATAATAGCATACACGTCATTGCTTCACGAGCACAAATATATAGTAAAGTATCTGGGGAAAATGAAGAAATATCTTTACATTCGAAATTAATGTCTGCACAGATATGTTTTTGAGGAATTAACTGAACATTCTTCAGAACCATTTAGAGTAACCGACTCAAGTAATACGTGTACACCACTGGGTTATTATACATTACTCACAATACAACAAAGTATTATTTCTCATAATTCACGATATATATATATATTTCAACTACTGCTTTGAACATACAAAGAGGTAACCCGAGCCACCACCCAAGATTGACGAGCAGACTACTACTCAGATGAGATAACAAATATACCACAGCCAAGTGACAAATGATGAAGGTGGAACTGATGCCATTAAAATCGCGAACCGTGTGTGTAAAGAAGAACCACAGCAATTGTGAATATAATGGATAAATCACACAAAAAATCAGCAAAGTTGAGCACCTTAGACTTGAATTGAGACCTTTTGTTTGATTGCCAACGATAATAGCTAGTTGCTTCTTTTATGTGGCAGAGTGTTTATTGGAAATTTCATATGTTCATGATCTAGTAGTTGTGATGTGTCGTCTGGTTATTGTGCATCTATCAGTATAAGCTTGGTACCTGCATGAAATGGTAGTTCCCAGTCCACATGGAAGCTTGCTTCCCCCTAGATAAACGGGGCAGCACCTAGCATGAGCAACAGACAAGACAGCAGCAGCAGGCAAGTGATCTTACAGCTCAACAGCGCCACACTCAGGAAAACATCATGCAAAGCAGGGAATGCGGTCATATGTTGACGTTTAAATTGATTTCACACGTACTATTAAAAACTATCAACTATTTTTTATCTTACCAGGTAAGGCCCACTGGACTATAGAGCTCTTTCTAGATTTGAAGCTTTCGTGACCGCAAGGATTCATACGCTTAGGTTTTTTCGGTAAAGTCACGTAGGTAAAAAATAAAATAAATAATAAAAGGATAGAAATAGTAATAGAAATAAAATAATAAATCACGACGTTTCGGGCGCAACACAAGCGTCCGTCATCAGGTGGGACAACCACAGCCCACTTCAGCATTTGTTTCGTGCTGTGGTTGTCGCACCTGACGACGGACGCTTGTGTTGCGCCCGAAACGTCGTGATTTATTATTTTATTTCTATTATTATTTCAATCATTTTATTATTATTTTTATTTTTACCTACGTGACTTTACCGAAAAAACCTAAGAGTATAGAGCTCTTTTTCAGAAGTGACCTCGACGCAAATAATAGCCTTAAGAAGTGGCTTATCACGTGGAAATTTATATAGCAGTCTCAATTTGGACCCACACACTTTGTTTCTAAATGTGGAGGGGAAAGAAATGGAAGGCCTGGAGAAAAATCCACGCGACCACGGGGAGAACATGCAAACTCCAACGGTTGGGATCAAACCCACAACCAGGCAAAGTAGTTACCATATCGCCACCACGGCACCAGGTAATGAGACGTGCCGAAAAGAAAGATTTACAACTAAATTTACCTTTGCTGTCAATACAGTTATACAAATCTGGTCAGACACACAAACCAGTTTATGAGACGTACCACCAAACTCTTTCTTTGAAGTACAGGTGAAAAAGTGCATCTTGTAATCAGGAGAATATTGTGATCAATATAATTATTCATGTACAGTACATAGCATACTACACTGAAGGAAGTTTTTAAAAACACACTAATATACTGGAACTATTTGGATAGTATCGTAAGCGTTTTTAAATATGATGTTTAAAGAAAACGCTTAGCCAAATGCAATTGTTAGCCATGTCCTTCAAGGATTTGCTCCATACTTAGAAGTTTCTTACGCTCCATCATCAAATTCCTACCATCCGCCACAGGCACATATGTTCATAAGCCAGAAATATAGTCAAACATTTATATTATCTAGGATCCAGCTTTGTGGATTTTAACTAACAGTCTAAATTGTGATATATCTACTGCAGCAAATTGGGGTTAACCCCCTCTGCAAACTCATTAGTTGACAATCCATCTGCCCAATATGCTAAGGCATGTAATCCTCTATATCCAGCTTACCTGGGTCTATTTACGTTGTTTAAATTACGCCACATATAATGATACCATACGTTAATTAATAGGCAGCACTGCCTAACCTGATTTCTGTGATTATTCCAGACATCTGTAAATATCCCATATTTTACTCCATCGAATTAATCTGTCACTAATCCCTGACTTCCACAACAGGTGACACAAGGTTCACAAACTCACTTTTGCAGCCTCAATCGCACCCGAGTAAAATGCACACAGCTTGTACTGGTAGGAACCTCCTGGTTACACCAGCCCACAGGGGATTATTGTGTCCGTCCGTCGTGCAGGGAGGGACTCGGTGGGGAGGAAGGAGCTGGGTGGGGAGGGGAGGGTGGGGAGGGGCTGGGTGGGGAGGGTGGGGCTGGGTGGGGAAGGAAGGGTGGGGAGGGGCTGCGGTGGGGAGGGGCTGGGTGGGGAGGGTGGGGAGGGTGGGGAGGGGCTGGGTGGGGCTGTATGGGGGGTGGGAGGGGAGGGGCTGGGTGGGGAGGGGCTGGTCACCCCGTGGTGCCCATATAAAACTCAACGTTTAACCTACTCACGCCGGCTTGTGCCCGCCCTCACAGTCGGCCATATTTGCGGAATACACCACGCCGCCGTTGACCCTGGTCATTGACCGAGCAACCCAACGTTCCTACCAGCTCCCTCCGCAGGAATGTGTTTAACTCGGGAGACATCAGAGAAAAATGTGAGTGCTCATGTTATGGTGTGGCATGTGATGGCTTTAAAAGGAGACTAACATTAGATGGCTATTGGAATGATTATTTCTAAGGATTCCTTTATAATCGCATTTGTAAACTATGGCTATCACTTTTTCCATGTTTTCCTGAAGAAGGCGATCATCTTTTATTTAAACAGATCTATTAATAACTGGAATATTTTGCCAATGGCTTTAAGAAGGTGGACCAAGAGACCGATATCTCCTTGACATTAGCTTTAAAATATAATATTCATACTATTTTATTCATGAGTTTAATCTTATAAATATTGCCACCTTTTGGACTCCTCACCTACACCATTAGAGATTATATCGCGGCAAATCTTTAAATTCCTGCAATGGCTCCCAATTCAATGTTGAATTAACTACAAGGTCGACCACACTATTGTCAATATTCTTTGTGAACTCAATCCGCATGCCTCACTTAACTCATCACACTCTATTCCCCTTCCTCGACCCTTTGCTCAAACAACTCAGGCTTCCAAGCGAAAGCTCCAGTCATCCTGTTCTCAATGGCAGGTTACTCCTTTTCTGATGCTGCTTACGTTGTCTGAAACTTTCTTCCTCAGGTCGTCTGCACTGCCGACTGCATCCCTATTTGTCTTGTCCCAGTATCTTCATTCTTACCTACACTGGACTGTGGTCTTCTATCCCTCAACACCCCGAGCTTTCAAATTCTTAAAGCTTCTGCTTCACCCCCCCTCTGAATAAAAGCATATTTCCTGATTTTAAAAAATCATCCTCTTTCCCCAGCCCTCTCGATGTGTCGATCTCACACTTTCTTATGCCGTGTTTTGAGATGTGGCAGCATTTAGACACTTCACAAATCCCAACTTTATGGTCCCGCCGTCTTGGTAAGGTCGTGGAGTACCTGCTTGCAGAGCTCCTCGTAGCTTCTTTGGTTGGGTCCACATGGGCCACCTGTGCCAGAGGAACACGGGCAGCTCCGCAGGCTTTAGGCTGTGGGTTATATCATAGGGACAGAGACTTGGTGGGGGTTGTAACAGCAACGAGACATTTGAGCTTTTATCAGATAGAAATCCCCAAACAACGAATTGAAGATGTTCTTGGGTTTTTTCGGTAAAGTCACGTGACTTTACCGAAAAAACCCAAGAATATGAATCCTTGCAGTCACGAAAGCTTCAAATCTAGAATTGAAGATGCTTTGAAACATGATTGGTCTTTGAAATATGTTATGAACGGAGAATTTCCTACATGCTTTAAAAGCATCATTTGGAATATGTGCATTTCAGCAGTCTTTTGTTTAGTAACATAATTTTTGTCTATTCGTTTGTGTTTCTCCCTTGTGATGGGACTTTGTAGGATGAAAGTTGAGATTCATAAGGGTACAGAGTGAACGATACGGTCTGAATTGGTCTGTAATAAGGTATGCACTGATAAGGGGTTGACAGGTATGAGCTAATGGACATATAGATCAGTCCTCATAATCCTCCATAATGTAGCTTTTCATAGATAGCAACCTTTTCAATTTATATACACATTGAGCCAACCACTGTAGTGGAGCCACAAAGCCAGAGTTTGAGAAACATTATATTTGATAAACTAGCCTTGCCATCCAAAAGAATGTCAGTAAAACCCAATTCTACTCTAATAATGACTGTGAAGCAGTGTTTCTAATCACTTTCCCCAAGATCAGAGCGATATCAATTAAAAAGCAAGCAGTGAGTCCTCATGTTGGGACTACTAGGTCACATAGCATGCTCACCAATGGCTTATCTTCCACTTCTAAGAGCTCTTCCAGGAGGGCCTCTATGTTGTCTTCATCTTTCTTCTTTTTAACCTTCCTGAGGATAACACGGTGATTACGTTACGACAAAAAGATTACTTGGGTTATGACTCGGGCAACATTTTCTCTTCTATCACACTTTAAGATCTCATTGCTCTTACCGGTATATATAACATAATTCTACATTAACAATCATAACCCTGATAACATTTAGTCTTCAAGGGTTCTTTTTTTAGACTTAAATGGTCATATTATATTCACTCTTGCGGACACACTCTTTGAATGCTATCCACATGTTACAATAATGGCTCCGTGTACCAAGAGCATTTTACCGGCTTTACGTAACATTAAGGCGTTTAAACAATTAAAATTTGTAGGAGAAAAAAGTTCCACCCGATAGATTTGAAGAAATCATGTTACACTCCGAGTGACGAACAACATGTTGACGATGATCACGCAATGGTGTACAGCGTGGTCCAGATGTATTTTTACCCGCAATTAATTGACCACTGACATTTTTTCCCTTTGCTTATAGATTTGTTTTTTTAAATAAACCTTACTTTAAAAAATATAACGGTTTAGATCATTAAATGAGCATCACTATACATCTGGACCATCCTGTATATTTTAGTGCACGTTTGCAAAAATACTGATACATCTTTGCACATTGACAGCTTACATACACTTGGTTCAAACACCAGGGCAAGTGTAGAGATAGGGATGTGGACTGGAAAACTCCGTGCATGTTTTCAACTACTATAAATGTCTACAAGTTTAACAAAAATAAAATGTCGCTGATAAAAAAAAATGTCGAATTATTTGAACAATCTTCAAGAACATACAACCAATACCCATCAGAAAATCGGTCAAATATCCCAATGCAACACCGGTATTGGGATATTCAGGCTTTACTCGGGATTCTGTGTATATAATTTATTGTAGACAAATGCGTGCATATAATTTCCACCTTCCCATCCTCAATGTGACACTCCACACGAACTCCACCTCTTTAGTTAAACGCCCAAAGTAAAGTGCCTTCTTTCTGAAGGCCCCTTCACCAACGGCCCTCTAAAATATATCGACTTCTTCGAATTATAAGACGCTCGGAAATGAAACACGCACCCAAAATCTGTGCCCGGTGTCGCTACAGTTAGATAAATTCTGTTCTCACACACACACACGGACAGGATGAGCATATTCGTCAATAACATATAACAGGCGACGTTTCGGATCATGGACCTGCTTCATTGCACCAGGGACCGTTTCCCGAAACGTCGCCTATTATATAGTGTTTTTACTTTGAGGGTAGTGTTATTGACAAATGTGTTGCGGTTTTGCTATATGTGAACAAATTCACGAGCAACGCCGCCGCTTGTCACAACAACCGGACTATAGGACGCACCCACAAGGTGCGGTCTTATAATCCGAAGAACACGGTACCATCAGGATTAAAACTAAACTATTCTAATGTTAACAGGTAAAGCCCACTGAGTTACGTAGCTCTTTGTCAGAAGCGACCTGGCCACAAATGATAGTCCCACCAAGTGGCTTATCGCGTGGAAATTTATAGCAGCCCAATACTCTAAACGCGTGTTGTTGATTTTAAATGTGGAGGGAAAATCCGGAGGACCCGAAGAAAAATCCACGCGACCACGCGGAGAGAGAGAGAGATGCCGCAAACTCCAAATATACAGCAGGTGTCGTCAGGGTCGAGATCAAACCCACGATGTTCTGTATACCAGGTGAGGTAGTTAACACCCCCTAGCCACCGTGATGATGATGAGACACGCAAACTCCAAATATACAGCAGCAGGCGTCAGGGTCGGGATCGAACCCACGACCTCCTGTATACCAGGCGAGGTATTTAACATCTCCTAGCCACCGTGATGATGATGATGAGAGAGAGACGCAAACTCCAAATATACAGCAGGCGTTAGGGTCGGGATCGAATCCACGACCTCCTGTATACCAGGCGAGGTATTTAACATCTCATAGCCACCGTGATGATGAGAGATGCCGCAAGCTCCAAATATACAGCAGCAGGGGTCGTCAGGGTCGGGATCGAACCCACGACCTCCTGCACACCAGATGTAGTTAACATCTCATAGCCACCGTGATGATGATGAGAGACGCCGCAAACTCCAAATATACAGCAGGCGTCGTCAGGGTCGAGATCAAACCCACGACCTCCTGTACACCAGGCGAGGTAGTTAACATCTCCTAGCCACCGTGATGATGATGAGAGACACGCAAACTCCAAATATACAGCAGGCGTCAGGGTCGGCATGCAACCCACGACCTCCTGTACACCAAGCGAGGTAGTCAACATCCCCAAGCCCACTTAGTGGGTGTTGACTAGCGACTGTAGCCGAAATAAGTGGGGGGTGTGGAGGGGCGGAGAGTCTCACTTGTCTGGCCCCGGCGCCGACGACGCCGCGGTCTCGGCCTCGTCGAGAAGTCGGTCGAGGTCGTCCAACATCGCGCGGCCTTTGGCCTCCTCCTCCACCCCCCGTGGCCTCCTTCCTTCGGCCCGAGAGAGCGCGCCGAGGCCTCCGTCTCTCGCTAGTCCGACAGGCCCTCGCCCATTGGCCCCAGCGCGCAAGCCCCGCCCCCTTCCCCACCTCCGCGTGACGGCGACCGACCAATCAGCGACTCGGAGGGTCCGCCCGGTGTGCGGTGGGGATTTGGAATGGCGCCGCGTTGTTGCCCCGGGTTACTGGGGGATGGGCTCGCGACCGCCGGTGTCAGATTTGCGAGGTTTTTAACCTCCAGATGCTGGGTTTACAATGTCAACCCATACGGTATAAGGGGCCGTCCATAAATGACGTCACACGATTTTGGACGATTTTTTACCCCCTCCACCCTTAGTCACATGACGTCACAAAAAGTCAGACCCCCCGCTCAAATATGACGTCACAAATCTCTGCCCCCTCCCTCCCAAAATAAAACATGACGTCACGCACCTGGGGGGGGGGGGGGTCAGACATTTGTGACGAAGTGTGACGAGGGGGGGGGGGGGTGAGAAATGTGACGTCACATCAAAATGCGCTACTTTAAATAAATACGGACAACACGTTCTACTTAATTAAATAGACTTTTTGATACAAAAAAATTATCCTACAACATCAGAGTGCAGCGCTACATTAAATACGCACTACAATGACAATAGTTTAAATCGATTTGAAGCATGTTTTATTTTTTGTGGGGGGGGGGGGCAGAGCATTGTGACGTCATATTTGAGGTGGAGCTCTGACGTTTTGTGACGCCGTGTGACGAAGGGGGGCGGAGTCAAAAACCGTCCAAAATCGCGTGACGTCATTTACGGACGGCCCCCATAGACGCTCGTCAAACAGCACTTGCCCCATAGGTAAAACATTTTAATTAATAAAAGTAAAATAGAAATTAAATAAAAATTAAATAAAAATCCTCTCATTTGATACAGCTATCGTGCTGTGACTGTTCCACCTGAAAATGGAAGCTGGTGTTGCCTCCGAAACGTCGTGATTTTTATTTTATTTTTATTAATTACATTTTTTACCTACGTGACTTTACCGAAAAACCCTCAGAATATGAATCCTTGCAGTCACGAAAGCTTCAAATCTAGACGCACTTGCCCCCGCAGCCCGCCGCAGCCTACACGGGCGAGCTTTGTCTTTGCGGCGGGGGCAACAGTCGTGACGTAAGGGGCAGGCGCGCGCCGTGATTGGCTCACGCGGCGGGTCAAGGGTTAAAGGCCCTCTTCGCCCCGCTTCCCGTCCCACCCGGTCCCCGCGGTGACAGGGCCGAGATGGCATCACGCGTGTTGGCCTACTGGTGCAGTGCGTCTATCGGTAATCATTCATTCGCAACGCCTTATCGATATATACCACCGCATTTGTGGGGTTTGTTTTTAACTTTGCTTACAGTGCGTTACGCCGACGAGGGGGTGGTGGTGGTGTTATTTGTAAGAAAGAGAGAGGTGGGGGTGGGTGGAGGAAACGCACCCATTGTGGTTTGTTGAACGGGACCACAACGCCGCTGATGAGACTTAGAGAAGGCGAAACTTGGCCTGGCTTCACTGCTGCCCCCCACCACGTTATTTTGGGAAGGCGTAGAGGTTTGCGGACTGATTACAATGTTGTAACGCCTCCCCCCCCCCCTACACACGCCTTCCACGTGGTGAAAGAAAAGCAATTCCTCGTATCTTTATTCAAATGTGTCCTTTGTTATTTCTCATGATTTGTTTTGTGTATCTGCCCCCCCATACGGCAGTGTTGGCGTTCGTGACGGGAGTCCGCGGCGTTTGCCCTCGAGCTTGGAGAATCGTGAGTCGTGCACCCAACGCCACACACACACACAGCAACGCTCTAGTAGCAAGCCAGAACGACATGGCCTGGGACAGAATGTTGGGTCCAAGTGCTGTTTGCGACCAGCACATATGAAAGGGGAGGTTGTGTTAAACATCCCCGAGCCGGCTACTCGTTTGAGGCCGAGTCGACCTAGGGGAGGCCCACGGATCTATTCGGATAATCGCCACTGATGGTGTTGGTGGCCGTGAGCGGGAATCGAACTGGGGCCCGCCGTGTTCGTAGGGAAACTCGCTCACCGCAACACGGGGACAGACCACTCGCATAGACCGCTCTGACTAGCTGCCTGGCCTCTGCGAATTCGCAAGATTTGTTCGTGAGAAGGACACGGTGGGTAGCCCTTTGAAGTTAAGCTTCACGTTCGTAGCATTGGCATGCTTCATCAGCACCCATTGCCTGCCCACCGCTGGATGATCCGAATCTCTCCCACGCCCTCGGCAAATGGACATCTCTTCTTCCCCATCCTTCCTCCCGTCTCCGCAAGATGTGGAGGCGGCGACGGCGGGGTTGGTGACCTCTATTGTCCGTTCTCCTTGGCCATTTTCTCTCAGTGGTCTCGTACAATTGAGCCCGTCGGAACACGTCCGTCGAGAGACGTTGTATTGCACTCGCAGCGTACGCAAGCTGGGATGATGAGCACACACGCACGAAATTCCGGGTCACTTCTCATCTCGGGCATGGGCAGTGGTTTTATTGGCGAGTGGTCGTTGCGCATGTAGAGGTGGACCTCGCAAAGGGACGAGCTGTGTGAGCGCTGTCCCTAACAAAACACTTCGCCCGAAATAAAGTGCGGCAGAAATACTGTGCCGCCGTGTTAAAATACACTTGGGGTGTGTGCATTGCATGGCCGTATTTCCATTTGTACTGCATGCAGTCTTGCCTTTAGTGACAGTATTGCTCTGTAAAGGAATTTCTGTATTAACAGTTGTGTGTCATAAGCCCAGAGCTCTATATTATGTACGCGAACAGCCCTTTGTCAATACGGCTTAGTGAAGGCAAAGTTTGTGGGAACATATATAAGTTTGATACTACAGAGGATTTTACTCCGCTGCCCATAACGTTACTGGATAGTGTATATTTGTACACATTCATATTAAAGGCCCCTTAAAGTGGTTATTATACAAAGTACTGTTATAGTTCTTAGGGTTGAGCTATATATTAAACTCGCGGCAAGTACCCGGCGTTGCTTAAATTACTTGCATACAATATACCTTTTTATATACAGTATGAAAGAACAGCTATACTGTAAGCAGGGGATAGGATAAGCAATTTGGAAGTTAGGAATAGAACATGGCATGAGGGCATTGTATGCATAGTCCAGAAGAGGAATTGCGATGTTGTGGGGCATGTTGTGCAGGATATATGAGGTCAGGTTATCGCCACTAGCAGTGGCATCCAACACTCGGAAAGAAAGAGGACCTACACCGGGAGAGGTGGTATACAGATGCAATAACTGGACGTCAGATTACAGTTGCACAACAGTTTCAGGATCTGGTCTGGAAGAATAAGGAAGTAAAAACAAGGAGGCATGGTATAGACATCAACAACATTGCCCATTATGATTTCTTTATTATAAATATAAAAAAAGTTAATCGAATGTTTTCCTTAAGAAGCCGCTGAAGCGAATGGTTGGGGTTGCCATGGATAGTTGATTGAGGCCACTTGGGTATGATTGAGGTAGAAAGCCAAACTCAAGCACTTTTAGGATCGATAATTGGTTTTTTACCCTTCTATCTGGCAACAAAACTGACACCTTTTTACAAGGAGTCATGTTTGCATAGACCACAATATCCTGCAGTCATAATGCAAACAAAAAACACAACTCTGATAATGTGCACTGTCCTTGAAGTTGATTGGTCCACACCCGAGACAGCTTTCCTTAGAGCCTAGTCTCACATGGGTTGGACCAGATGACGCCAAAAGGCGCACAACTCAAAGACTGCACCATCAGAGTATGAGAGCTCGGAGTAAGCATTTACACCATTGGAACCTCATTTGCCAGTAAAAATATGATAATAGGTGTCAGTTTTGTTGCCAGATAGAAGGGTAAAAAACCAATTATCATATTTTTACAGGCAAATGAGGTTCCAATGGTGTAAATTGTAGGATCCTTAGAATTCAGCATGAATGATTGAGAACCACTGGCTCTGATCACAGGAGAGTACAGTTCGTCTTCTTTTTAAATCCTTTATATTAAGTTCGCTTGCTTGCTTGCGTGCTTGCTTAGGACCGTGCAAATCTTTCGGTCGTTTTTTAACCCACTTCCCGTGATCCAATCGAGCTGACATTTTCCACACAGACTCGTTGTGCTAGACAATTAATGTTCGTGAAAAAAATTCCCAAAATTCTACACTTTTTAGGCAAAAAAAAAATATTTTACATATATTCAAAAGAACTCATTCTTGGCTTTGGCTGAACGTCACAGTATAAGAGCCCAGAGCGTAACCCCTCCACAGACCGTGGCGGAGTAGCGCAGTTGGTAGCGCCCTCGCTTCCCATGCCAAATGGTCGCGGGATCGATCCCCGCGTCCTCCACAGGCGAATATATTTTTAAATCCTTTATATTAAGTTCGCTGCCACGCATATAAAGGATTTATAGTGAAAAACTTTGTTTTTACGGGTTATACTTGTTAGCATCTATGTACAATGTGTTACTACCACTTGGTGGTTAAGCTTGCTGGCCTAATTTAGTTGATGCTAGGTGCATGACATGGTGAATAGTCAAATGAGATTTTCTCATGAAGAAATATGGCATTCCTACAATTGCCCCAGCAGTGCATCATATCATGGTAAAAAATGTATTTGGAACTGACTGCACAGATTTTCCCGCACCTCCGATTAGCATGGCTGGCTACATGCTGTGCGAAATAAGTTCAACCTACATACATTGCTAGCACAAGATGGAAATTGTCAGTCTGAGAGCAACTCCGCCGAGATGCCAGTTGACATACCTGCAAGAAGCAATCCTCAACAGTGATCACCAATAGCTGGGGGTTTTATTGCACTTGATGTCATTGAAAATACCCGCGTCCTGCCTTGAAACATCTTTGTGATGTAAATTGTTCAGCTTGAGAACATGCTTTTTAGTCTTGAGAAAGGGAAAATATATCAGAAAATGATTTCTGAATTCAAGGTTAATTAATTGTAATTGGTATTTATTTTATTCTCTCCAGATTCGCGGAGCACAAAAATGACGGCGTGTGGTTGGTTGATGTAAGTATCATCTCATTTACACACACGCTTTCATTTAAAAGTCCTCTTGATGTTCCAGGACACAGTAGAGAGCACAATCAATACCAGTGAGACAAGCGTCCACGTTCATGTCTTGACAAAGCACAGCGTTCATATCTGCATTGTTTTAAATTGTTTTGAGAATCTCGTTCTGAAATAATTGTATGAAATGTAGCATTAACTACTGTTGTGCTTCGATGCTTCCATTGACTTCTGCACTGCATCACAGGCACAGTGTGTATTACGTACCACTTATTAAAATCGAATAACCCAAGGTGTTATTGTACGTGCTTCGGCAATGTCACCTGGGCATTGGACCCCTTCCACCATACTCAGTCCACAGGAGGTGCTAATAACACTCACTCCAGTCCATTACATTAAGGGCTGGAGGTGGGGGTTTAGTGTTTCCTGGTGTGAAGTGCTTATTCTAATGTGTGACTTGACACAGGTTTCTTTTTTTGTATGTACGTACGTATGTTGAACTTCTTTCGCACCGTACATAACCAACCATGCTAATCAGAGACGTGGGGGGGGGGGGGGGGAAGGACCGTAAACTAGACACACAGAACATGTTCTAAATAAATTAGTTTTCAGTCTAGATGACTTAAAAGTGCACAGCAGCCGATGTCAACTGCCATCGACATTGTTTTGCTAAAGGGAAGAGGAGCAACCGTGCAATAGCAGCTCCACCTGACTGCTGGGAGAAGGGCCTCCAATACACGGGCGTTTAGAGAGCCCCTCTGCATGGTATTTGACCTACGCTTCCATGCCAGGCAGATATCTTTGAGGAGGTGGGAATAACTACACTTTACCTCCACCGCATGCAACCTGCTGGTGGGACTACCTGAGGTTTAACCTTTTTCTACCTCTGCCACTGGATGGACAGAGGTGAGGAGAAGATTTAAGGAACTTGCCCTTTGGTTCAACTGCCACGCCAGGAGATCGAACCTACGACCTCTTGATTGCATGTCAAGTGTGCTAACAATTGCACCAGGACAGCATACCATACGTGAAAGTACAAAGTGTTATTATTACTACTATAGGTGTATGTGGAGTAGTGTGCACCTGGAAACCGGAGAACACTTTGCTAAAATAGAGAAAACAGCAACCAGTTATGTGTTGGGTTTGAAAACTAATTTCTTAAGAACTGAAATTTTGTGTTTAGTTTGTTGTCCTTCCCCACACCTACGATTATCACGGTTGGCTACGTTCGGTGCATAAGAAGCTGAATATATATTCATTATTCCTTAATGGAACATAAGATGAGATTCATAAGATAGGACAGGACTCAGAAGGATGAGCTTTGGGGGATTGGATGATGAGCACTGTGGGATTGTTGTACCAGATGCTGCTTAATTAATTCCCATTGGTACATAGCTTACACTGTAAGGGATTAAGCCATGGCTGGATAATGTAATCCATGTAGCTAATTTTCCATAACTTTTTGGGTATATATAAATACAGTGGCACACCTATGCGAGGGTTAATACAATATTTGGAATCTCTGTCGTATATTTTATCGAGTAAAGTTTATACAATTTCTTTTTTAAACAAGCTATTGTCTTGGCAAGGCATTGACACCTTGGTCAGCTGTTTATAAATATGGGAAGCGGTTGGTTATTGTTCCAATCACTTCATTATGATCTCAAGAAACGAGGTTCATTTGTATACAATGGATATTCTAAGTGGTACATGGTATCTGGACCTGCCATGGGCCTCCCGTAGGTTTACTTGGCCTTAACTAAGTAATTGGTGTGGTATGTAAGCATCATAAGAAGGCAGACAGGCATCCAGACAGGGTCCTGTCCACATCACAACTTGTGTGCCCCCTTCTTGGTTCTTTCGGTAAAGTCACGTAGAAGGAAAATAATAAAATAATAAAAATAAAACATAATCAAATAAGTATCACGACGTTTCGGCCACAACGCAAGCAGCCGTCTTCAGGTGGAGAACAGGTCTGTCGAGAAGGCACCTGAAGACGGCTGCTTGCGTTGTGGCCGAAACGTCGTGAGAATTATTTGATTATGTTTTATTTTTATTATTTTCCTTCTACGTGACTTTACCGAAAGAACCAAGAAGATGAATCCCTGCAGTCACGAAAGCTTTAAATCGAAATTTTACTTGTGTGCCATTCCAGCCTCAGCAGGTGCTAGCTAAAACAACATTTGCCCCGAATATTCAATAAGGCTAAATAGGGCTCTTTGTTTTTTGTGTGTGTGTGTGACCGTAAATATTTCTGTTTTGGCGTCGTGTGATGATAGTTCTATGCACCATGGTGCGGCCACTGCAAGAAGCTGGAGCCGGTGTGGAACGAGGTGGCCCAAGAGATGAAGGCATCAGGCTCTCCCGTCCGCGTTGGAAAACTAGATGCCACTGCACATTCTGGTATTCCTGCGCGTCCAGCCTGCTGCTGCGTGAAACGTTTGACGTGCAAAATAAGACAGTACATCATCATCGGAATCTTTATTTATCTAGAATATCTATTTATCCTGGAGGAATCTGACGAGCCGTGAAGCTCTTTTTCCACGCATGTCTAGTACTTGTCACAGATGTTCAGTACATATTTTTTGTGTCTTGGGAGGCAACGCTCATTTGTCATGAGTAGTTGCTGCCGCGGTGTAATGGTTGGTAAACTGGACTTCCAATACAAAGGTTGCCAGTTCAATACCCATGCACAGAATTGGAGACAATGTGCAAGTATTAGACCCCTCCGCCCACTTTCTCTCCACCCAGCAGTATAAATGGTTGATCGGTAGGCCGAGCGTGGTGGGGTAAAGTGTGGGTACTCCCACTTTTTAGGAAGTCGCCCATCGTTGTCGCATGGAGAGACCGGCCTCAATCGTAAGTACGTGGAATTTTCTCCACTGGCTCTGGTTCATGGGGGCTAGTGCTTGTTTGAGCTAAAATAAAATGTTACTTGGCTTGATATATTCATAGATAAGACAATAGTAGATATTAATATTCTTGATTTTTCGGTAAAGTCACGTAGACGGGAAATAATAAAATAATAAAAATATTAAAGAATAAAAATACGCACATATTTGTATTATTTTATTATTTCCCTTCTACGTGACTTTACCGAAAGAACCAAGAATATCATTTGAACCTATCTACGTGAACCGAAATACCCAAAGAATATGAATTGCTGCAGTCACGAAAGCTTTAAATCGAAATACTGTAGTAGGTATGTTGAACTTCTTTCGCACCGTACATAGCCAACCATGCTAATTGGAGGTAGAGTCTAAATGCGGTACGTTATGTTACAAGGTCGGCGTCATCAGAAAGCATGCATATTTTCTTTTATCGCCAGACTTGTCCTGTTTGCATTTTGTCCAGGGCCCTGTGCTCTTGTTCTCACCTCCGATTAGCACGGTTGGCTACGTACGGTGCGAAGAAGTTCAACATACATACGTGTACAACTAAAGGTCCAATCATTGGCTCATCAAATTACTTGGAACAGTGATGATAATTTTCGCCCGTGACTTACGCAATGCGACTTAAACATGCACATGTTTGCGTGTTTATGCAGCGCAGTGTCATCTAAGAAAAAAATGAACTCCCTCGTGATGCTCTCTTAATATTTGTGCCCTCTAAAACTGAACTATTTAGTGGAAATATGAACTGTGAATAAATGTGCGCGTTTTTGCCATTCCGTAGGTATTGCTACGGAGTACGGCGTCCGTGGATACCCAACAATAAAACTGTGAGTCTGTCGTGCACTGTCGTAAGTGTTTCGGTGGATTGTGCAGTGTTCTGTTTCAACGAGGGATAATTAAATTGAAACCCCACTTCCCCATTACGATGTGGCAGGATTTGGGTCGCAGATGTCCCCAGGTTAATATTTCCGTGGTCTTAGACCAGGGGTGGGAAACCTATGGATTGCGACTTCGCCTGCGAATAGCACGGTGGGCTCCTTGTGGTGCGAAAGAAGTTCGGCAAACTTATATACGTGTAGCTGGTGGCAACAAGAGGTTTACGACTTCAAAACGTTTCAAGTTTGTAAGATTACTTTGTGTATAAAGGTGAGATCTCGGGAGACCAGGATAATTGTCGTTCGCCAGAGTGAGAGAGCGACCTGTTTAACACGTAGGCTTTCGCGACCAATATTATTCATAATCAAAGTTTTTGGGTTAGATCGCGTTATTTATAAATGTGTCGTAACACACCACCACCCGACACGGCCAATCAGCAAAAAAGTGTCATGTTGACAAAAGACAAAAAGTTCACTGCTTTATCCCACCGGTGTGTTGAAGCGTGAAACCACAACATTTACAATTTTTGAGTAGCACGACGTTTCGCTGGTTATTGCATCCAGCATCATCGGGCAATTCGCCAGAATGGTGAGGCTCTGCTCTGGCTCCCGGTCTTAAATAGAGCAGCAGCAGCAGGGTGACGTCATCATTTAACTCATCAGGTGCAACCTGGCTCACCAACATGACAAAAGCAGAACAAATAAATGGCGTTAATGAAGCAAAATAGAAATAGGAGTAAAAAAGAATAATTAATTAATCACTGCAAGAATTCTTACCCTACACCTCCGATTAGCATGGTTGGCTACGTACAGTCATACCTCGGTATACGACCGCTTTGAAATACGTCGAGTTTGGTATACGTCGTGTTTTGACGAGAGAAAAAATGTCTTGGGATACGACGTCTTGCTTGGGATACGACGCGTTTGCTAGAACTTGTATGGGTCGGGATGAGTCACCGCGTACCCGCCGCGTAGACCCCGTTCACGACTCCTCCCCTTCCTCACCACCATCCTCGAAGGCTATCAACTCCTCTCAGCAAGGTAAAGTGATGTTAAATTTTATTTTTATTTAAATTTATTTTAATCTATTTTTGCATTTATTTTTATTTATGTATGCATTTTAGTAATAAATAGTGTCTACATTTTTTTATACTACCCCATTAATGTATAATATGCCATATAAAATATCATTTCTTATACTCTGGAACGGATTATTTCCTTTCCCTTTATTTCTTATGGGGAAAATTCGTTTGGAATACGTCATTTTCGGTATAAGTCCTACCTTCTGGAACGAATTAACGATGTATCCCGAGGTACCACCGTACATTGCGAAAGAAGTTTAACGTGCAAATTAATCGAGTACACGAGAGCTATGAAATCGACCTGTTTTAGCGCGGTCATTCACTTCCGTCAACGCAAGGGCCCGCATCTTACAGTGGCAGGAGTGACTGAGCTGTGTGTGTGTGTTAATGTGTGATTCATTAAAGTTATTTAAAAGTCATATTCAACCCTCGGTATAAGGAAAAGGTTTCCCCACCTATGCCTTAGGCCACAGGGCCTGCACGGACACGAAGTGGTATTTGCATATTTTTGGATAACAAGATGTTTAGCACAACCCACATAAACCGCATAGAAAGCTTTTCCTATGGAGTAGTTTTTTCAATGCAATCAATACATCCAAACCGTGCATTGCATTAAAATATATTCACACGATGCATGTATACACACTGTTGAAGAGCCACGCTGGCAAGTTGTTTTTTCTGCTGCCAAATGCAGCATTTTCATTGTTTGTCTTCAATTTACATCGGGGGTTCAGTTTAGCATGAGCCTCTGGCACGCGTAACGGTGTTACTTCTGTCGTTTAGAATTAAGGGGGACCTGTCGTACAACTACAAGGGGCCGCGGACCAAGGATGAGATCATCGCGTTTGCTAACCGCGTGGCCGGGTGAGTGTGACCACAACTTCCCCGCACCTCCGATTAGCACGGTTGGCTACGTACGGTGCGAAAGAAGTTCAACATACATACGTACGTACAACCATGCAGACCTTCTATTCGTTCTTCAGAAACGTTACATCCAAAGTCAGGGTTCGATAAGTTAAGGTGTCTCCTTGCAGGCGATGCACGTCTGAATGTGCAGTGGCAAGTGCACATTCTTGTGATTTTGGTCAGTATATGCATGGAGAAGCTACAGATAACAGTAAACACATTCCTGCGGAGGGAGCTGGTAGGAACGTTGGGTTGCTCGGTCAATGGCCAGGGTCAATGGCGGCATGGTGTATTCCGCAAATATGGCCCAACTGTGAGGGCGGGCACAAGCCGGCGTGAGTAGGTTAAACGTTGAGTTTTATAAGGGCACCACGGGGTGACCAGCCCCTCCCAACCCAGCCCCACCTCTCCCTCCCCCCACCCAGCCCCACCCTCCCCACCCAGCCTCTCCCCACCCAGCCCCTCCCCACCCTCCCCTCCCCACCCAGCCCCACCCTCCCCACCCAGCCCCTCCCCACCCTCCCCACCCAGCTCCTCCCCACCCAGCCCCTCCCTGCACGACGGACGGACACAATAATTCCCTGTGGGCTGGTGTAACCTGGCGGTTCCTACCAGTATAATGTCTTTTATCCAGAGAATAGGAGTGGTAGGGGTACACAGACAGGGATAGGACTCAGAGGCGGTACATGACAATCTTAACGGTTGGAACCACTGCTGTCTGCGGTGTGCCGTGTGCCGTGTGGTCGTGCAGGCCGGCCATGCGCCACCTCTCTACGCCAGCGCTCTTCGCTCACACACAGAGCCGGCATGACATCTTCTTCCTCTACGTGGGTGGAGACTCCAAACTCAAGGTAAATCATAAGACTCCTAACTGAAGGTAAATCGTAGACTCCTATCTGAAAGTGAATCATGAGATTCCAAACTCAAAGTTAATCGTAAGACTCCAAACTCAAGGTGAATCGTAAGACTCCAAACTCAAGGTCAATTGCATCACACTTGCATGAAGCTACAGACATAGAGTGTGACGGTACAGTGGATCCTCACTCGTAATTTATCGGTAAATTCATACGTGTGTATGATGATCTTGAACTTCAAATGCAGATGATGTATACGGGATGTGAATCGCTGTTGCCGTGGCGTACCGCAATGTGCTGCGCGATGTCCTTCGGTGACCGTGATGAGCTCCGTCGGAGACCCACGCAATCGACGGGGGCTCCCTAGCCGCTTATTCTCCAGCGTAGCTCCACGGCAAGAGTTGAAGCGACGTCAAAATCCCCATCTGATTTGCCGGCTGCGTGACAACCCTGGCAATGCCATGCCAGGGCTAAGGGAGAGGACGCACGCGGGGATTGCGTTGCTGTGACAACGCGATTCCTTCGTGAGATTTTAATGTTTCCCCTCGCTTCTTTGCGCAGGAGAGATGAGACGTGGGTCTTCATTGTGATGTTTTTTTTTAAATAATATATTTTTGGGTCGCGTCGCAGATAGGGGCGATGGACTTGGCCAAACCTGGCACAGGGCATTTTCTGCTTGTCGCAGAGGTTAGCGGATTCTAACCGCCACGGCCACCCCTGGTTAATAGCCGCGTGTGCGGTAAATAAACAAATTCGCGCCATCTGCTTCTTGGTGGGCGTTAAAGATCTTGTAGGGCATGTGTGCCGACGTCGCGGTCCAAATGAGAGCGTGACGCTGAGGGGCGCGTGACAGGTTTTGTTTTTCCTTTCCTCTTGCTGTATGCCCCCTTGTACCGTACTGGTTCCATTGTTAATGTGCGCTGATGCCCACTTTATTGTGAGCGATATTGGCACATAAAATAAAGATTGATTGAAATGTGCCAAGTTTGATACATTTTCGCAAATTAATTAATTGGGAATAACCAAATTTTTGGACCTCCGATGAGCACGGTTGGCTAGGTACTGTGCAAAAGAAGTTCAACATGCATGGATAGCATCATTGGCTACGTACAGTGACAAAGAAGGTCTACATGCATACAAATAGCAACATCGCCCCACTACTGTGAAGCTACTGCGTACGATACTCATCCGTGAAACATAGCGCCTTTTATATATGTTTGTGCTGTATGTTGAACTTCTTTGCCACCGTACGTAGCCAACCGTGCTAATCGGAGGTGCAGTGTGGAGTCTATGGGCAGTATTGAGTCTATGGGCAGTGTTGAGTCTATGAGCAGTAGGTACATTTATGCTGGATATAACATTTCTTTCTCACCGTACGTAGCCAACCATGTTAATCGGAATCGCGTGAAAAGGTGCCTTCATGATAGCCTTGCGCTGTAAGAATAGCACGAACACAAACTTGTGCTCATGATTTGACGTGTACGTTTAGATTGGGAATCTCAACGTTATTTGAGCCGGGCGGGTCACTCGAGCAAACTCTGTAAGTTGGCAGGCTGCATTCTTACGAACAATAGCGCTGTCTTGTAACTTGTCACTGCAAGACCCATGTGAGCGACCCTGGGGCTATGTTTTACAACCACTGAGTAAACCTAGGGTTAAACGTTTCCTATTCATTGTGTGCGTGACCCCGGTTTCTATAACTTCATTGCTGCGAAGAGTCATTCCGCCGTTTAGATCTGGTGTATTTTTACAAACGCATTATGTATATTCTCCGTTCTATTACAGTTTTTGTTCCCTGTAACTTGAAAGAAAATATTATAAAAGGGCAGGAGGAGATGAGTTTCTGGTGCTTCAAGTTTACACTTCAACTGGTTTGTCCTGCAGTGGAAATTTACATATTTGATCGTATCTTGTATGAAACGTATTGTTTTACGGTTTCCTCATCACATACAGATGTTATATATTGTTGGCATTAGAGCCAATGGTGCGGATGTGGGGACCGGACTTCACGTATGGTTCCCAGAGGCAGACTTTGCATCAGTGAGCGGTTGGTCAGAATACCGTGCCGATGAGTTCTAATTAGAATGAAAATTGGTCCACAGTTGTCCATCACTGCATCACTGTTGCAGTCATTCGGTCACATATTCGAACATTTATTTTAACCGTGATCTGAGACTAAAGGTCCACAATGCACATCTTCATGATATGCCGAATGGTCTTTTTGCACTTGCGCGCACAAACGACTGTGCTTTTTTGTGCGCATATTTATCTGTCTCATTTTAAACCTGCGGTTTATCGGGCCTGCACTGCTTTTTCTGTTTACGATGTTTTTTTCTTTTACTCGTAATCCACACACATCGGATGCGGCGTAGTGAGTGGCGCATTTGCCCCGTGCGGCGTCGTTGTCTGCGTGCAGGAAAGTTTCACGCAGGTGGCACTGGAGATGGTTGTGAATGCGTACTTCTTCTCCACGCCGGAGGAAGTGCTCCCCGCGGTAAGTGTCGCCCCCCCCACACACCCGTCCGAATCCTGCCGCCGAGGCTATGCCTTCATCTTGTTGCGAGTGATGGCAATAGGTTCAGGAACTGAATGCCAATGTTGACGTCTGCCAACCACAAGAGAGGGCTTTAGGAGAGAGAGTTCGTGTCGTTGTGCTGTTCCTCCTCCACAGTGGCGAGATGTTAACTACCTCGCTCGGTATACACGAGGTCGTGGGTTCGGTCCCGACCCTGACGATGTCTGTATATTTGGAGTTGGCATGTCTCTCCCCATGGTCGCGTGGATTTTTCTCCGCGCCATCCGGTTTTTCACTTCACATTTAGAATCATGCGTTTAAGAGCATATGGCTGCTATACGTCTCCACATGATAAGCTACTTTGTTAAGTTATCATCTGTGGCCAGGTCGCTTCTGAAAAAAGAGCCATATATCTCAGTGGGCCTTACCTGGTAAAATAAAAAAATTGTTTAGTTTATAGTTTCACTACATGGTGCACAATTTTGGTTGCATGGCCACAGTCACGCTACTGTGGCTTTGTCTCCAATTCTCCATTTATGAAGGCGACGTGCGCATTGGCCTGTTGATGTTTCGGTGATGGGGGGGTAGACCAGGATCGGTTCGGTTCAAATATCGCTTGTGACTTACGTATGTATGTTGAACTTCTTTCACACCGTGCGTCGCCAACCGTCCCAATGTGAGTCGTGGTAGGGAATACAATTGGTGGCGCTGGGTTCCCAGCGCAGTCCGCTAACCACTTGCGTTGCCGCTCCACCGCGGGTACCTGTAACGCGGCCTAAAAAACTTATGGGGTGAATGGTTCACTAAATTGTCACGATTCAGGGTCGTGTATAATTCAAGAATCGAGTCTTGTTCAACATTGATCGGTCGCTCTTCTCATGTCCGCAGGGGTAATGTGTGCCTATTGCATTCAACGTATACGAATGGAAACTCCAAAGCGGCATCAGCATCGCCAAATAATGTTTACTATTCCGAGCTAGCATTTCCCTTAACTTTTGATGACTCGGTGAGACTTTCGCCGGGTAAATACTGTACGTGAAAATAAAATGGTACCATGCATGCTCTTATTGCACGCGTTTATGCCTACGGGATGGCATTCCGCTTGGGGGGCGTTGACGCGCACGTCACTGACGCGCCGTTTCTCTCGCGTGTGCAGAATGTGCACGTTCACGAGGCGCCTGCTGCCTTGGTATTCAAGGATGGAACGTATTACGAGTATGATGGTGAGTAAAAACGCCCCTGATATACGAAGACAAAGTTCCCCCGTATATACTTTATTTAACAGACTGTTAGGGCAGTGCTACTGGCGAGCACCTATGAAGGCCGGCACGGCACATGAGGGGGTGGGTGGCCAGCACCACGCCCGGCCGCCTTTGCCTCCCTAGCGGCGATGTTTACACACCGCACCAAGGGACTCATTTGATGTTGAGTTGACCTATGGGAGGCCCAGGACTGGTTGAGATAATCGTCACCGGTGTTGGCCGCGGGCGGGAATCGAACTCGGATCACCGGGTTCGTAGCGCAGGGTGCTAACCGCTGCACTACACACACGCCGACACCTAATGACGGGTGCAATGGCCAAGCAGCAGCGCGTTTGCCGCTTGACGCCGAGGAGGTTCACGGTTCGAATCAAGCGGCCGCCCTGATTAATACCGGTTGTATTTACAAAACAAATACACGCCATCTGCTTGGCAGTGGACGTTAAAGATCCCGTGACGTCATTCACAAGAGTCGGCTGATGCGTGCCGGTGTCATTGTTCGAATTTGCCCCGAAAAAATACTCAATTGGAACCCTGAAAAAGAGTAATGGGACTCGGAGGCTTTCCTGGGTAAACAAGCGTAATGTACAAAAATGTTGGAAGATACTATGTTACCATGAAATCGTTTTCACGGTACGATACAATATTAAATGTAATATTATGATGCATAAGGCCGAAACAGGAGGTTTTCTCCACACATCTGGCTGTCGCCTGATGAGGTTGGTTATAATTACCAGCGATACGTCGTACTCGAATTGTTAATGTTGTGGATTCACTCTCCAACACGCTGATGTGCTGAACTAGTAACAAATTGGCATGTTTTTTTTACATAACAAACCTTACGAATTGGCTGTGTCGGGTGGTGGGGGGTTTAACTACATATTTGTATTTACGCGATCTAACCCAAAAAAACCTCCTATGGATAATATTGGCCGCGAAAGCCTCCTAGATTATCGTAATGTCTTGAAAATGCTGTTAACTCCGAACGATCCCTGAGATTGCGGCGTATATGAATGCTCGGCCTAGTCATCTCGAGCAGCCCGAACGAGAGCTTGGCGCAACTTGAGGCGTGCAGCGCTTTGCACGCACGGTTCAGCGGTCGGTTGGTGGTCGTGCGTCTCGTTGCCGATGCCCAGAGTCCGACGACGGTGACCTGGCGACGTGGGTGCGGAGGGAACGCTTCCCCACATTCCAGGCCATCGACGGCTACGCCATGTACGCCATCTCCGACACAGGTGAAGCATGGGCCTGCTGGCACGCGCGTGCGTGCTGTGCGCCCCGCACGCTCCTCTAATTAGCACGGTTGGCTACGTATGGTGCGAAAGAAGTTCAATGTACATACTTTTCCCGTGCCTCCGATTAGCACGGTTGGCTACGTACGGTGTAAAAGAAGTTCAACATATAGTAATAGGTTTTTACCCTTTCAACTGGTACAAAAACTGACACCTTTATACAAGGCATCATGTTTGCAATAACACAAGTAGTCAAAATGCAAACAAAAAGATGCAACTCTGATGATGATAATATCATCATTATCATCATCAGAGTTGTTTCTTTTTGTAGTCAAAATGCAAACAAAAAGAAACAACTCTGATGATGATACTATCATCATTATCATCATCAGAGTTGTTTCTTTTTGTTTGCATTCTGACTACTTGTGTTGTGGTTATTGCAAGCATGATGCCTTGTATAAAAGTGGCAGTTTTTGTACCAGTTGAAAAGGTAAAAACCTATTACTATAATATCATCATTATCATCAGAGTTAAAATATCATCATTATCATCATCAGAGTTGTTTCTTTTTGTTTGCATTTTGACTACTTGTGTTGTGGTTATTGCAAACATGATGCCTTGCATAAAGGTGTCAGTTTTTGAACCAGTTGAAAGGATAAAAACCTATTACTATATTTTGCCACTGGTAAAGGAGATGTCTCAAAGTTCAACATACATACTTACGTATACCTGGGTGGGTATTTTCCAGGTGCTTCAGTTTCCTCTCGTACGTATAAAAGCTCAATAATTGGCCAATAACACCTTCATATTTAGAGGATCGCAGAGCTTTGGGAGGGGGGGGTGGAATTTGGTGCTGGCTAGCAAAAGGTGGTTGTTGTCTCTCCTGTTTGTGGTTTCTTGTACCCGAGTCACTCTCTCTCTTCGAGAGCGAGCGAATTCTGTGCAGCGTCGAACGAGTAAAAGAAAATCGAATCGTATTTTATAACTACTTGTCATTTGCTTCTGCACGTGTGCAAGTCTGTGTGTGCATCCTCGTTCAGGCATGCGAGCGTGGACGGGTTCAGTTAGCATACTTGTCAACCCCTTATCAGCGCCTACCTTATCAGAGACCAATTCAGACCTTATTGGTCACGCCGTGACCCTTATAAATCTCAACGTTCATCCTACAAAATCCCATCACAAGGGAGAAACGCAAACAAATACGACAAAAGCATGTTTTTATTGTTGCCCGTATTGAAACGGCTGTACGCCATATGGACCCGAAAGCTCAATTTCCCTGTACAAGAATATGGGGTAAACCATATGGGTAGACAGCTGTGCCACTATAACATCAGCTTAACTGTGTATGCGACCAATAAACTTTGATTATTAACAACGGAGAACCATGCCTTGCATTGTGAAGATGTGGATATTCAAGGGCGACAACACCCCCCATTCGCCACTAAGTGACCGGTGACGTCACCACGACACCTGTGCCAGGCTAGATGCATGTTAATGCCACCGAAAGCACCGTTATGAACACTTTGCCTGTTCGCGTCATCTCTCTCTCTCTCTCTGTCTGTCTTGCACAGGCAAGTTGGTGGTCCTGGCGATCGTCGACCCAATGAGCACCGAAGAAAATCACAGCAGGTGAAGTGCCACTGTGCATTTATTGTATGCCACGTGAATGATTGTATTGCATAGTGCCGTGCGGCACATGAGTTTGGCTCATTCCCTGTAAGCTTGTGGTGTTTAGGTTGTGCTGGTGCTGTCACCTTAATAGCTGGGTAAGTCGTGCTTGGGCCTGAATAGAGAAAAGTTATGGTGGTGTCGTATGAGACGGAGAAGACGAAGCATCCAGATGATAATTGTCCTCGTGGTTAACATGAGCAGTAGGGGGACAGGTTGTGTGAGTGATACTGGTAGGAACCTCCTGGTTACACTAGCCCACAGGGGATTATTGTGTCCGTCTGTCGTGCATCCAAAAATGGGAGGGGTGGAGGGGAGGGGAGGGGGAGGGTGGGGAGGGGAGGGGGAGGGTGGGGAGGGGCTGGGTGGGGAGGGGCTGGGTGGGGAGAGTGGGGAGGGACTGGGTGGGGAGGGGCAGGGTGGGGGGTGGGAGGGGTGGGGCTGGATGAGGAGGGGCTGGTCACCCCGTGGTGCCCTTATAAAACTCAACGTTTAACCTACTCACGCCGGCTTGTGCCCGCCCTCACTGTCAGGCATATTTGCCGAATACACCACGCCGCCGTTGACCCTGGCCATTGACCGAGCAACCCAACGTTGTTACCAGCTCCCTCCGCAGGAATGTGTTTTTACGAAAGGAAGGAACCAGCAGTGCCGGTAGTGTATCAGCAATAGGCGGTCAGGCCATGTGGCTGCACCTCCGATTAGCACGGTTGGCTACGTACGGAGCAAAACAAGTTCTCCATACATACGAGGGTGTGTGCACGCGTGTGTGTGTGTGCGGGGAGCAGTAGTGTGGTGGCTAGCGGTGCTGCATTACGAGTTCGATCCCGCTCACAGCCAACCCCCCCTGTGACAAATAACTCGAGCAGTCCTAGGCCTCCCCTGGATCAACTCATCCTCAAATGAGTAACTGGTGTGATGTGTAAATATCACCACAAGGGAGACAAAGGCGGCTGGGCTTGATGCTGACCACCCACCCTCTCGTGTGCCGTGCCGGTTTTCATGTGCTCGCTCACAGCACTTGCCCAAACAGCCTGTTAAGGCTTCATGGGGGATCATTGTCTTTGTTTTGCAGGCTCAAAAAGCTGGTGGAAGATGTTGCGCATGAATACCGGGAGCATTTCCATCGGTAACATTGCACACGTGGACACATCACCAGCACAGTCATTCATGTACCACGGCTGCGAGACCGCCCGTATCACCGCTACTACTTCACCACTACAGTCGAATATTACCTGCCACTGTCCGAAGTCTAAGCTGGCTTAAACACATTCCTGCGAGGGAGCTGGTAGGAACGTTGGGTTGCTCGGTCAATGGCCAGAGTCAACGGCGGCGTGGTGTATTCCGCAAATATGGCCGACTGAGGGCGGGTACAAGCTGGCGTGAGTAGGTTAAACGTTGAGTTTTATAAGGGCACCACGGGGTGACCAGCCCCTCCCCACCCAGCCCCACCCCTCCCGCCCAGCCCCACCCTCCCCACCCAGCCCCTCCCCACCCAGCCCCTCCCTGCAGGACGGACGGACACAATCCCCTGTGGGCTGGTGTAACCAGGAGGGTTCCTCCCAGTATTATCACTGATCTATCGAGTTTGACAGCCAATACACCACGGCAGGATCCTGTTTTATCAAAGTGACTGTTATTATGTCAAAACGAGTATGACTGTGCAAATGAAGGAAACAGCTCAGGGTACCTAATATGTATGTTTGCATGTATGTTGACCTTCTTTCGCACTGTACAAAGCCAACCGTGCTAATCGGAGGTGTGGGGGAAAGACAACAAAGTAAACACAAAGAGCAGTTCTAGTTTAGCACGGTTGACTTCATACAAAAAAACTAAGACAAAGCTCCCCCGTATAGCCTGCAACAGACTGTTGGGGCAAGTGCTGTTAGCGAGCACCTATGAAGGCCGGCACGGCACACGAGGGGGTGGGTGGCCAGCACCACGCCCGGCCGCCTTTTGTCTCCCCAGTGGCGATGTTTACACACCGCACCAGGTACTCATTTGAGGCTGAGTCGACCTAGGGGAGGCCGAGGACCGGTTCAGATCATCGCCACTGGCGTTGGCCGTGAGAGTGAATTGAACTCGGGTCGCCGGGTTCGTAGCACAGTGCACTAACTGCTACACTACCGCTCCCCATTACATACACATACACATGCCCTGAGCTATTTAAATCAGTCCCACAATTGCGTGCACAGGTCTCGTCATTTGCAAGACACACACACACACAGAAGTGGATGTGAAACGCCAAAGCACCTGCGAAGGTTACGATTCACGTGTGTGGCTGTGGTACTCCCTCCTCCCTCCCCCCGCAGGGATTTCCAGTTTGGATACGTGGACGGGGCAGAGGGCTACATGAACAACCTTCTGATGAGGTGAGCCAACCCAAAGTGCATCCCGTAGCATTGGCATAGGCTTTTTACTTTGACCCTTTTCTAGCAGTAAAACAGGGGTGGTGTTAAGATGCTCAAACACAAATTAACACCATCATTAGACCTCCTTTGCCAGTATCAAAATATAAGAATAGGATTTTTCCCCTTTTTTCTGGCAACAAAACTGAAACCTTTCTTTACGAGGAATCGTGTGTGCATTAACCACAATACTTGTGGTCAAAATGCAAACAAAAAACACACTCTGATAATATATGCATTGTCCTTGAAACTGATTGGTCCACACCAGAGACAGCTTTCTTAAAAAAGCCTAGTTTCACAAATAGACACGCCTATCTCAACGCATCAAGTCTGCGTTAACCACACTGTACCTGTGGCTAAAACAAGCAAACAAACATGCTCTCATAGTGCGTGCATTGTCCTTGAAACTGCTTGCCCTGCACCAGAGACAGCCTTCTTGATGGCCTTGTCTCACCGGTGTTAGACCAGAGAACGCCAAAAAGCGTGAACAGTACAGGTATTCCTCTACTTACGATGGAGATGCGTTACGACGACCCCATCGTAAGTCGAAAATATCGTAAGTCGAAGATGGCCTAGCCTACATAGGACGTCTTAAAGAGTGGTGATAATTTAGCAAAACAGAGCAATTTACAGTACCGTACTGTATAAACTATATACTGTATGTATTTATTAATTACAAGACTGTATTGCACGGTAAAATGTAAAGTAAAAAACAAGGTCAATTCTTAGATTACCTATATGAACTACAATTTAATAGAAAGTTTTTTTCAGGAAACAATCCTATCTGCTATAAAAACGTTTAACATGCATTTAACGTATCGTATCGTGGTAACCCTAAAATGAAATCGCTAAAGCTACGTATCATACATGCATTGAATGTATTGTAACGTATCATATTGTACTTTACTCACCAAGATTCGTACCTCGTACGCTGCTGCGTTTGCCTGCCGCGTGAAATTTGAAATATTTAACAATTTTGTCGTTTTGCTATGGCCGTCGTAAGATCGAAATATCGTAAGTCGGACCATCGTAACTCGGGGACTATCTCTATAAAGGCAATGCAAGTTTAAAAGTATGAATGGCTCGGGTTGAGCAGTACTATCTATGGGACCTTTTTCCCAGTATCAAAATGATGAAAAATGAGAATGGGCTTTACCCTTTCTGGCATCATTTTTGATACTAGCATTGCACGCTTTCAGATGCGCTTCTGCGGCCGTCTGGAACGCTCTTCCTTCCAATATTAGGAAGCCGCCACTGGAGCTTTGGAACTTTTTAGTTCAAGATTGATAACTCATTTCTTTAAAACTGCGTTTTGTCTTTCGTTTGTTGTCCTTCCCCCCCGCTCCTCCGATTAGCACGGTTGGCTACGTACGGTGCGAAAGATGTTCAACATACATACATACTTATTGCCGCTCATAGCGGTGATGCCACGCAGAGCGTGACATTTTCTGCGTACCTCTGTTGCAGTGACGTTGAGGCCCCCAGCCTCCTGGTTTTCAACACATCGAGCCAGGAGTACTACCTGCCCACCGAGCCGCTGCTCTCCAATCAGGACCTGCTCAGCTTCATCAACAACATCCTGGATGGCTCCGTGCCTGTGAGTAGCAAATCCACGTGCGTGGCGACGCGTCCTTGTGTCGTGCAGCTGAAAAATGTAAAATTTGGTAACCGCGAACACTACTTGGGTCGTTTTTTTTCACCAAATGTACGTGGTAACTGCCTTCAATAATCATATTAAGCATGATGGCATCTCAATGGGGATATGGCTTTGTGTGTACGTGTGTGTGTGGTGGCGCAATTGTTAGCGCGCTGCGCTACGAAACCAGCAACCCGAGTTCGATCCCTGCTCACTACCAATAACAGTGGTGAATATTTGAACTGGTCCTGGGCCTCCCCTAGGTCGACTCAGCCTCAAATGAGTACCTGGTGCGGTGTGTAAACATCGCCACTGGGGAGGCAAAGGCGGCCGGGCGTGGTGCTGGCCACCCACCCCCTCGTGTACCGTACTAGCCTTCATAGGTGCTCACTAACAGCACGTTACCCAACAGCCTCTTAAGGCTATACGGGGGATCTTTGTGTCTTTATACTCTCTATGCGTGAATGCATATTTAACCTCTGCTTGTACCAGGCCCATGGAGGGGATGGCCTCGGCCAGAAGATTAAACGAATGCTGTTTGAGCTGAAGGCCACGATCACTGTGAGTGTATTAAGCAGCATTCCATATGCGCGCACGCACACAGCACATGTGTACTGAGCGACTTCCGCGGCACGTCGTGTAGAGGGTACTTCTTTTATTTCTCACACTGGGCACAACACAGGCCAACACTTATTCTTCCGCACACTGAGTACAATACTCTATTAACATCTCTCCTGGCTACACACAGCCGATCACTCGGCGTGGTCCCATCGCCCTCACTCGGCCACGCCGCTGGCTGGCGGCATGATGATGATGACGATGGAAACCCCGCAGGAGATCTTCCACGTGGCCGGACGACGGAGAGAGATGTCAGTGAGCAGCGACGTAGCCTGGACCCAAGAATCCACACATGAACCCCGAGCCCCAGGTCCGCTCCCCCTTATATCCCCCCAGGCGTGGTTAGGCTCCACCTCCGGCCACGCCCTCTCGTGGAACCTTCGAGCAGGTTCCCAGATTATCTCGGCTAACCCCCCACATGTTACCTTTGCCCCAGATGCACCTCCTTCTCTGATTGGATGTTACTTTAAACTTGCCCGTACCCGTGCTTGCCTTTCCCAGCCAGCAGGTGTCACCATGTCATTACACATGTATCAGCGGTCACCTGTGTTCGACGTGAGTGTGTGTGGGTGGACTTGAAAGTGACGTTGTTTGATCTCATCCCAAACCGCCTGCGCATCGTAGAGGGCTACCCATCATCATCTCCAGTTTGTACGAGTCGATGCTCGCTTGTTTGAGAGCGCAGGCAAAGTTGTGGAGGGGCAAGAGGGAACCCAGATATTTTACACCGCCTACCACCCCCCCTCTCTCTCGCCTCCGATTAGCACGGTTGGCTACGCACGGTGCGAACAAAATTCAACATGCGTACATACCAATGCCGTCCTAGGTCCCAGCAGTTGTTTGTCCCAGTTTAAATCATGTTTGAGATGCAGCATTGGCAAGTGATGCTTAATATTTAAATCCAGCTATGCAGTACATATCAATAACATGCATTGTTGTGTCCGATTATGTGTATATATTGGAGGTCGGTTTACTAAGACAGGCATTGGAGTGGGCACCCAAATGTTGGTGACCGAGAGGGAAGATGTCAAATCGGCCACAAAACTCCCCGAGCCTGGCACTGTGTCGTGGTGATGGCACCACTACTTAGTGGTGAATGGTGGTTGCTGTTCTTCTGTGAAGCCTGTTACAGTAGTTTTGTGCAATACCTGACAGACATCGCCGCCTGGGATTTTTGATTCCCTGTCGCGGATGACATACTGGCGCCATGTCATATCTGAGCCTATATTGAGCCTCCCCGCTAGGTTGGCTTAACGGTAAATGAGGACCTGGTTTAGGGTGGGGAACTTTAACACTAGGTATGCAAAGACAGCAAGTGTGCTACTTAGACCAGCCACCCCCCCCCCCCACGCACTATGGCAAACTTAATAGGGCATCGCAGCGGCGAGATTTTAACTACCTCACCTGGTATACAGGAATTTGTGGGTTCGATCCAGAACCTGACCAATGCCTGTATATTTCGAGTTTTGCATGTCCTCTCTCCTTGTGGCCACGTGGATTTTTATACTCTTAGGTTTTTTCGGTCAAGTCACGTAGGTAAAAAAATAACAAATAATAAAATAATAATAAATGAAAATAACTAAATTAAATCACGTGGATGTTTCTCCGGGTCGTCTGGTTTTTCCCTCCATATTTTTAGAAACGCACTTTAGAGTTTTTGTCTGCAATACATTTACACGTGCAAAAAGCCACTTCGTTGAGCTATCATTTGTGGCCAAGTCGTTTCTCAAAGAAAGCTATGTAGCTCAGTGATCCTTACCTGGTAAAATAAGAAATATTTTACTTACTAATATTAACCTTTGTTTACTAAATAATGCCCCATTGATTCTTAGGACTTATTTTGGGGAATATCCCACATTTTGATGTTAGTTCAATTCCATTAATTCGCATTTGGCATGTGGGAGCAAACTCGCATACATGAGGGCTAACACTCAAGCATCCACAGATTGAAGATGGACCGATAGATCGATTGTTAGATAGATCCATTGATATCCTGCCATCTCCTCATCACCTGCTAGCCCTAACCCACAACACTGCATATATTTCACGGCACTTTCCCATCCACGTGTTAACCGGGCTCGGCTCTGCTGTGCTTCTGAGATGTGACAAGATTGGGCACATTCAGGGCATTGTTCAACTGTAATGGTTTAATTTTAATAATTACATTTTAATGTGCACTTTTAGTTATGGGCTGTGTGTTGCCTTGGTGTGGTCTGGAACAGTTTTTTTTTGTTTTGCTGCCTTGCCCAAGATTGCATTTGGTGTTGAGAAATCGTTAGGAATTGATGCAATTTGTAACTTATCTAAATTTGAGAATAGGTTTTCCCATTTTTTCTGGCAACAAAACAGGTGATAAGATGTTAAAACACCAAACTGAAACCTTTTACAAGGAATCATGTCTGCATTAACAACAATACTTATGGTCAGAATGCAAACAAAAAACATACTTTGATAATATATGCATTGTCTTTGAAACTGATTGGTCCACACCAGAGACAGCTTTCTTTTGAGCCAAGTCTCAAATGGTGTTAGACCAGAGGACGCCAAAAGGCGTACTAATTTGTTTTTATATTTAGTGACTTGCTTAGCTTTCCTATACTTTGCACCCATATCGGTGTTTGCATTGTTTGTTGGTGATGTTATAACTTTCTGACCCGCCCCCCTCTACTGGACATCTTGTGAACAAAAAGGCTTCGTAGCTCATCGGCTTCTTCCAGTCTCAATAAAGATTCCGATTCGAAAGTAGCTGCCCCCTTCAAATCCACGGTGCGCAAGCGGCAGTGTGCGAGGTAGGCGCGGGGAGATTTTTTTTGTCCCGGTCTTTTCTCATCCCCTTCCCAAACACACACCACGCCCCCTGTCCGCCCCGTGTGTGCCGGCGCGTCGTCTCTCGCAGTCCGTGTTCAGGGCGTCCCCGCTGCTGGCCTGCGTCCTCTTCGGCCTGCCGCTCGGGGTCATCAGCACCATGTGCTACTGGATGTGGACGGCAGACGGCGACTACGACGAGGCGGGAGCAGGAGGCGCGGGGGGCCAGCGCAGGGCGCTTGCCGCGGACGATGACTCGAGCGACGAGAGCGGAGAGGATGAGCCCCGGGAGGAGGCGGTGCAGGAGGGGGTGCGGGAGGAGGAGGAGGAGGCGGCGAGCAAGGCCGGCGCCGATGAGAGCGACGAGGCCGAACCCGAGAAGCCGGCCGTCGAGAAAAAGACCGACTGACGTTTGCACAAAACTTTGAATCTCATCCGCTCATGTTAAATTCCAGTCTAAGATGAATTTCACCCCCCCACTCCCGCTCCCTCCCTCCTCGCCTGGGAAACGTGCAGGGACAAGAATAGAAACACATGCTAACATATGTAATGATTGTGTTGTTCGGCTAAGCCGACGTGGGAGAAACCACACCGCTAGCTTACCGACGTCACAGCGACCGACGGCAGCTGCGCATCGTGGGCACGCCATCGTACGAGGGTGACGTGTGTTTCTCCTCCGGCGTTTAACAGCCTGGACTGTAATGCATTGTTTTGTGTTCTTTGATATGAACTTTTATTTCTGTAGGGCATGCTTGAGTGCTAGGATGGGGGGGGGGGGGGGTGTTGGATAACATTGGTCAAGACGGTTGGCTAATTCCTGTGGATAGTGTTGCTACAAGTGGGTCGTCAAAAGATATCTTGAAAAGTAGTGAACTAGTTGGACCAACTTATGTTAGGCATCAATGTGAGCAGTTGCTATATTGGGAATAACTGTGAGTGTACGTGGCTTGAATATTTCATTCTCAGAACGTTTTTGACTACCTAGCCGCGCTCTTGAGCTGCATTTTGTTTCTTGGAAGTTGAACAGGGGACTCTTCATCACACTGTAACACATTGGCAACGGGTGAGGTTTCAATTAGTAAATGCAAAATTGGATCACCATTTCCAGAATCTATAAGCGGGACTAGTCAAATGGGCTCCTGCCAAACTTTTGTTCATTAAAAATGTAATTTGAATGGAATACTTGTCAAAACAACTTGCTCATTTTGTGCACGCACTTGTTTTGTCCTCGTGTGTTTAAAAGAAATAACAAGTGGGAAAGCTTTGTAATTCTAGATTTGAAGCTTTCGTGACTGCAAGGATTCATATTCTTGGGTGTTTTCGGTAAAGTCACGTAGGTAAAAAATTATGTGACGGTTCCACCTGAAGACGGAAGCTTGTGTTGCCTCCGAAACGTGATTTTTATTTTACTTTTATTAATTTAGATTTTTTACCTACGTGACTTTACCGAAAAAACCCAAGAATATGAAGCTTTGTAATGTTATAAACATGGGGCAGCTCCATTGATCTGGTCTCGTTCCACGTACCCACGGAAGTCGTCTCGTGAACCCTCCTTGCAGACCGACTGCCTTCCTTTGGAGGAGCGTTAATGATTTGGCCATTTCATCTTTAACCACTCAAAAGTTAAATTCTGACCAACCTTTCCGGTTATCTTCTACCTCCTTCTTGCCATCTCGCCCAAGTTCTATATATGCAGGGTGCTTCAAAAAATGTTCACGCTTATATGGGACTATCGTTTTTAATGGAAAAAGAACGGATAATACACTGTAACATGATAACAAATGTGATGTTAATAGCTTCAAAAAGTCAGTCTCCCTCTTGTTCGCCTTCGTTGTCAAAACGTGCCTGGCATCTTCACCAGGTGGTCTCCAGAGCCCGGAGGCGAAACATTTTTCGCGGTATTGTTGCAAATTCTCAGAAGTGTAAAAACATTTGAAACACTCTGTATTTACACAAACTTGCTGGAAACGTATATCCAGCAGTTGCAATACTTGAGCAATTCACTCGCAAGGATGTCACCGCCCAAATGCTGTCGGAATACGATTTTGTGAAATCATGACCGAAACAGCCCCTGGTTTGGTCCTATAAAAGCCAAAGCAGTGTTTAATTTAACCAGGCGGAGTGCCCTTACGATGTTTTACCTTGTGAAAAGGAAAGGCCTGGGTGTGATCGTTATAGTTTGTGGGAGACGTTAACTTTTTATACGCAAAATATTGAACTTTTTTTTTTAGATTGGGGCAAATGAGGTGGTGGCGATGGTGTTTGCGTGGTGATGAAAGATATAACGGACTTGACGGCAGGATGGAGTTAGCCTTGGCGCAGTTCCGTGCTGCTGTGCCAATCCGTTTCTCAACGCGATACGAACTTTTTACACTGGCACTCTGCTTCAAATCTACCGCGGTACCTCAATATGTACCACTAATTATATATAACATTGACACGTAATGAGAGATGGTATAATTTGCTATTTTTTTTTCATGTTCATTTCATGTTTTGACCACTTTTGCATTGTTAGGCCCTTACAGCCTCTGCAATGAAAAACATCTAATAAAAAATAACTCTCCCAAAGTTTCAAAAACTGATGAGTGTTGTGCCTGACCTCGGCAGCTCGGTGAGCGCAAAGGGAGCTTCTCCTGTGCCCAGTGGGGCACAGTCTAATAAGACCGTCACTTAAATTGTAAAACTAACTTTTCTTTTACCAGTTTAAGGCCCACTTAGCTTTGCAGATTTTTTTCAGAAGCGACCTGGTCATCACAAATGACAGCTCAACGTAAGTGGCTTATCATCGTGTGGAAACTTATCGCAGCCAAATACTCTTAAACACACGTTGATTCTAAATGTGCACAGAGAAACCGGAGGGCCCGGAGAAAAAAAATCCGCCCGACCACAGGGAGAGAGACAAGCAAACTCGAAATCTACAGCTGGCATCGGGGTCGGTGTTGAACCCAGGCGAGGGAGTTAACATCTCCGCCACAGCGGCGCTCTTACTTACTCGGCCGGGCATAGCTGAAGAACAATGCACGGACTCATTGGCACGCGGGCGTGTGTGTATGTACACGTACAGTGGTACCCTGGAGATCGAACTTAATTCGTTTCAAAAGGCCATTCGAACATCGATTTGTTCGAACACCGAATTAATTTTCCCCATAAGAATGTAATGTAAATTACATTAATTGGTTTCCAGACACAAGAAATCTCTCATAAAGCATTTTTACACGAAGTTTACAGTAAAATCATAGAAAAAAAGAAACAATAAATAAATGAATAAACATGGAATAAATTAAATAAATGAACATTGAACTTCACTTTACCTGTAGTAAGGAGAGTTGATGGCTTGAGTGGAAGGTGGTGCGGAGGAAGAGGTGGTGGTGGTGTTATTGTTTGGAAGGGGAGTCCCCTTTGTCTGGGCAAGCGTCATGCACGCTGGGCCATACGCGTCTCAGCCGTACAGCTCCTTTCAAGATTGCCCGTTCGACCTTCGAATTTCGTTCGGTTTCCGGGGCAAGAAAAACCGTTCGGAAATATCGTTCGAACACCGATTTGTTCGAGTTCTGGTGCGTTCGATCTCCGAGGTTCTACTGTACGTTGAATTTCTCTCGCACCGTACCTCGCCCACTGTGCTCGTCGGGAGCTGCGAATGGGTTCCACGAAACGAACACTCGTCCCTCGAGGGTGTTTTCGGCGCGTCCTCGCGTGCGTTGTGAATTCACGCGGTCCGAACAAAAAACGGCGGCTTGCCATAGATTGCTGATCGCGTATTCAATGGCTGAGAGATGCCGAGTCAATGGGCTTTGGAACACTGCCACTGCACAACGCGCGTTAGCGCGCATCCGCTGTAGGTGTTTGTTTATGTGAGTTCTCACGCACTCCCACGCAGTTTGTTTTGTGTGTGTATAAATGTTCCTTCACGTTGCGTTATGGTGGTGTGTTTATAATGCATGTGACAGGTGCCTTCGATGATGCTAATGTACGCAGCCGCCCCATTAAAGAATCCAGTTAATTTCGTGCAAATGCAGACTCCGTTGGGGCCGCTTTCATGCAGTGTGCAATAACTTCTGTGACCTCCGACGCATTTTTTGATTCGTCGGCCTCTGTGGAGGAGGAGGCGGCTCTGGAAGGACGCTGACGCTGGGCAGTTGGAGGCAGTCGCCCTCCAGCAACAACGGAGGGCAAGAGGGGCGACGCTCACAACAACGAGCGAAGCGCCGGGGGTCTAAAACAGCAAGTTGGCACAGTAGGGGGCACACGTGGTGCATCGGCCACTCATCTCAGTTCAGTCAAACCGTGGCACCTGCTGGGTCTGTCCCGTGACCTCCTGCCAGCGGACGTTCGACACTTCACGTGGCCTTAACGTGCACGTAGCCTGGCACAAGCGCCGTGGTGATGTAACTGGTCACTTAGTGGCGAATCAAAATTTATTGGTCGCATACACAGGTAAGCTGATTTTGATTTAAAGCTTTCGTGACTGCAGGGATTCATGTTCTTGGTTCTTTCGGTAAAGTCACGTAGAAGAGAAATAATAAAATAATATAAATATTTATATTATTTTATTATTATTGAACATGCGCGCCCCTGCAGGCGATTATCTCAACACAGAGCCGGCCCAGCCACTAAGCGACCCTTGCAATTGCAAAGGGCCCCGTGGCCAGCAGAGGGCCCCCCTAGAGTCACTGCTAGCTAGTGGGTGAAAAAATTATACATCAAAGGGGCCTCCAACCAAATTTTGCGTAGGGCCCCCAAAGGTCTAGGGCCGGTTCTGTCTCAACACTCACTCTCGCCGTGCGTCTGCCTACGCAGCCGCTCCACACGCAAATCGCAGACGCGGCACCAATGCCCAGAGGTGTCGACTCGAGTCATGTGACTTGGACTCGAGTCAGACTCGAGTCATGAATTTGATGACTTCAGACTCGACTTGGACTTGCATAACAATGACTTTGTCCCACCTCTGCCAATGCCCCGTGCTAACGTTCATTCGCGGCGTAAACCCTGCACTGCCCGGAGGGAATATTGTGCGATAGAGTATCTTTACCAGTGGTTCTTAACCTTTACTGGCAGCCTTGCACCGCTTTGGATCTCCATCGTATATACTTTATTACAATGTTAAACGCATAGGGCTTGATGAAACAAAGTTGTAATTGCGTGCCCGTCCTAATTTGTTTTTATTTACCTTAAAGGGCATCTCACACCCCTCGGGGGGTGCGTGCACCCCAGTTAAAAAGACCCACTGCTTGAGGTCAAATACACTTGTCAGCCAAACATCGCATTGCCGATGCGGTTTGTCTCATTATTGGCGATAATACTTCAATCAACACAATTTCGTCAACATGCGAATTCTGATTTTGTTGTTGGATACCTCCTCTGGGCCATATTGACAGATGGAAACGTCCCGGAACACGAATTTGTAAATGTTGTGCGTTTACTCTCCAACACACCGGTATGAACTAGTAACGAATTGGCATGTTCCGTTTACGTGACAACCTATACCGATTGGCTGTCGGGTGGTGGATTTAAAGACGCATTTATATAATCCAACCCCAAAAAACCCCTCTTATGGAAGTAGTAACTCATTGGGCACGTTTTGGTTATGTGAACAAACCTCATTGTCTGTTGGGTGGTGGCAGGTTTAACGACACATTTACACAATCTAACCCCCCAAAAAACCTCTTCTGGATAACAGATCATGCTTATTCATTCTCCAGTAAAAATCCTGGCTGCCGCAAATTTCACACATTCCAACTTCATCTTTATTATCAGCTCTTTGTTGTACAACACACAGGTGACAATTTTGTAATTGGAAAAAAGTTTTATTGTACACAAAAGCAGAGTTAGAGGCAACGGGTGATAATTTGAACTAAAGATGATCAAAAGGTGACAAATGTTCCACCTTTCAACACAGCCTTGCAGTGAATTTACAAACATCAAATGTCAATACCATTTCCACCCGGACAAATAAAACAATCCCCCACATTGCTGTTAACCGACTGCAAATCAAATAAAATTCACTCGTAAAACGCTCGTTTTCACCAACACACCTAAATTGTATTCACTTAGAACAAGTGGACTTTACTTCGATAATTCACTGTGTAACAAAAAAAATTCTTTGTCCCTGGGAAGTAAGTGTTATTTCCTAATTGCTTATGCCTCAAAAGTACAGAAAATGGCTATTATTCCCCACAAAATTTGCTTTTGTGACCAGGACAGTGATATTTAGAAATTTACCTACTTTCAATGGGAAATCGTGGTGTGCAGTTGTGTCATTCCTTCACATTAAGTCCTGGTCACAAAAGGAAAGTTTGTGGGGGAATAGCCATTTTCGATACTTTTGAGGCATAAGCAATTAGAAAACAACACTTACTACCCAGGAACACAAATCGTGTTACATAGCGAATGGCAGCTAAACAACATCACGTTCAAGAAGATGATCGCTTTAAAAGAAGATGATCGCTTTAAAAGAAGCCTCAACAGTTCCCATTTGAAAATTTGAGCAACTGCCACGTTGTGACGACTACTTCCCAGTACGATCGACCTTCTGTGCTTAGACCTACGGAAACAAAACACAATAAATTCAAACTCCTTAAAACATTAAAATAAGAACCTGACCCACATGGGAAGCCGACCAAAAACAATACTGCCGTTTCCTTATCTCGTTCCACGGAGTTATTCCACTCCCAAGGTGCTTTTACTGCCCCGCACCATCAACTAAAAACTCGTGTAAGTTGGTTTAAAAAGTTGTGTGATATCCCAACTGCCAGCATGCTCTTCCTAACCCATGCAGCATCTGGCTTACATCGAGGCATCTATATATATATAAACCACAGGCCCTATCGGACAGTTTCGGGGAACGTTGCCAAAATGGGTCACGAAATCGGCTATGGTATATGTATGGAGACAGAACTTACGTTGGGGGGGGATGGTTAACCCAACTTGTTTTAGCATAAAATCTTTACTACTCGATACAAAGTGAGGCATATAAACGCGAGAAATCAAGTGGGCAGAAACAAGCCTCTTTAAAACGTGTAAAACAACACTTGAACGGCGCTACGCTGCTCTCGTTACCAAGTGCACACGGAAGCGAGTGGCACTTCATGAAACCCAATGGCTTATGGGAGTTACGATTAGTTTACGCACCATTCGCTAACCAACTTGTTTTTTTATGGTCGGCGAATTGAACGTTTCCGTCGTTCCGTAAGACTGCGCGCGACAGACGGAAGGAGGCTTTTACCAGTACGCCACCGGACGCTCGGGGCCAGCCATCACAAGTCAAAGCGATCAGAGAAGCATGGCGAGCGTGGATTGGTGAGAGGACGACTGCTCTGCTGTATCACCACAGCCTTGTAGTGGCGCACTGGGTTGGCTTTGTGCACCTGAGGGAGGAGGAGAGTGGGGGGGGCAGATGAAGGCAACGAGTCATTTCTGAAAAAGTGCGACTCTCAATTCAGAGAACACGGTACGACACGCGAGTTTGTAGGCAACGCATTCGTTATCTCCGCCCCCCAGTGCTTAAAAACTCTATGTTGAACTTCTTTCGCACGGTAACATGGCCAACCGTGCTCTTTAGAGGTGTGTTGGGACGGTGGTGCAGCGGTTAGCGTGCCGTGCCACGAACCCGGGGACCCGAGTTAGACTCCCGAGAACGGCCAACGCCGGTGACGATTATCTGATCCGGTCATGGGATTCCCCTAGGTCGACTCGGCCTAAAATGAGTACCCAGTACGATGTGTAAACATCGCCACGCAGGGACCAAGGCGACTGGGCGTGGTGCTGGCCACCCACCCCCTACATATGCCGTGCCAGCCTTTCGAAGGTGCGATTCGCTAATAGCACTTGCACCAACAGTCAGTTGAGGCTAGACAGGGAACTTTGTCTTTGCGTGTGTGTGTCGGGGGGGGGGCGGTAGTGTAGTGGTTAGCGCTACGCTGCACTACAAAACACAGCCTCCCGAGTTTGATTCCCGCTAACGGCCAAAATCAGTGACGACTATCTCAACTGGTCCTGGGCCTCCCCTAGGTCAACTCAGCCTCAAACGAGTACCAGGTGCGGTGTGTAAACATCGCCACCGGGAAGATAAAGGTGGCGGGGCGTGGTGCTGGCCACCCAACGCCTCGTGCACCTTTCTGACCTTCATGGGTGCTTGGTAACAGCACTTGCCCCAACAGTCTGTTACAGGCTATACAGGGGATTCATATTCTTAGGTTTTTTTCGGTAGTCACATAGGTAAAACATTAAAATTAATAAAAGTAAAATAAAATAAAAATCACGACGTTTCGGAGGCAACACAAGCTTCCGTCTTCAGGTGGAATTGATAGACAGCCAGGCTTGTTTTACCATGTTTAGTTGTTTCTTTTTTCACACTATTGTTATGTAGGCCAGGCTTAGTCACAAACCGTACCTCTCCATAACAAAGGCTCAGCCTCTTAAGCCTCACCTTACCATATGAATAAAAAGTGTGCCGTACTTGGCCCTTCCCCCTCTCCAACCATTATATATACGGAGTGGTAGCTCTTGCAATCTCTCATTTACTTGATACAGCTGTCGTGGCTGTGACGGTTCCACCTGAAGACGGAAGCTTGTGTTGCCTCCGAAACGTCGTGATTTTTATTTTATTTTTATCAATTTTAATGTTTTACCTACGTGACTTTACCGAAAAAACCTAAGAATATGAATCCTTGCAGTCACGAAAGCTTCAAATCTAGAATTATACAGGGGATCTTTGGGTGGGGGGTGGTGCGTGGGGGGGGCAGCAGCCTTACAACTTCTTTGCGCTGCTGGAGGATCATCTGGCGCTCCTCCTCCGCCTGCTCCTGCAGCCGCAGCTCCCACGCGGCCTCGTTCTGCCGCCGCTGCTCTGCGAGCTGGGCGTCGTACTCGGCACGCTCGCGCGCACGCCGCACCGTGTTCAGCTCCACGTTCTCCACACCTGCTGCGGCGCACAGGCACGCATTCGGAATGTGTCGATGCACGCATAGCGGTTGGGTGCGCTGCGCTCCGAACCCGGCGACCCGAGTTCCATTGCCGCTCGCTGGACAACAATACTGGGACTCCCCCTAGGTCGACTCGGCCTCAAATGAGTCCTTCGTGCAGTGTGTAAACATCGCTACTAGGGGGACAAAGGCGGCCATGGATGGTGCTGGCCACCCACCTCATCTCCAGCCTTGATTAGGTGCTCACTAACAACACTTGCTCCAACAGTCTGTTAAGGCTGTACGGCTGGATCTGTGTCGAGGGATGTGCGATTAAACTTCTTTCGCACCGTACAAGGACACCCCCCATCACTGGTCGAGAGCTTTGCAATTGGACACTTTGAAAACCCACGAATATGTTCACACTTTAACCCCGAGCAACGCAGCACGGCAATACCCGGTTCACGTCGGGTGGGGAGGAAATGCATTCCGGAAAGATGCGAAGACGAATATCGGAGCGACGTTAAATCAAAGCGACGTACAGGGTAGCAGTGGGCTGGTGGCGGTTGAGGCGAACGCCGAGAGGCGACGGATAACAAGAAAGGACGGGGACCGGTGACGTATCAGCGACGCGAGTGTGGGGTTGGTGCGACGCTAATCGGGCCGCGGTGTTGATAACAACGCGACAACGGTATTTGTGAAATGACATATTGATAATAATTTAAATTCACAAAGCGCCCTTAAACAAACCGTTCTCAGGGCGCTAACGGGGGAAGACGTAAATCGGGGTACGACTGCAGAGAATAATAACACATTCCTGCGGAGGGAGCTGGTAGGAACGTTGGGTTGCTCGGTCAATGGCCAGGGACAACGGCGGCGTGGTGTATTCCGCAAATATGCCCGACTGTGAGGACGGGCACAAGCCGGCGTGAGCAGGTTAAACGTTGAGTTTTATAAGGGCACCACGGGGTGACCAACCCCTCCCCACCCAGCCCCACCCAGCCCCACCCTCCCCACCCAGCCCCACCCTCCCCACCCAGCCCCACCCTCCCCACCCAGCCCCACCCTCCCCACCCAGCCCCACCCTCCCCACCCAGCCCCACCCTCCCCACCCAGCCCCTCCCTCCCCACCCAGCCCCTCCATGCACGACGGACAGACACAATCCCCTGTGGGCTGGTGTAACCAGGAGGTTCCTACCAGTATTATCACTGATCTGTTGAGTTTGACAGCCAATACACCACGGCAAAGTGACCCTCCCCACCCAGCCCCGCCCCACCCTCCCCACCCAGCCCCGTCAACTCACGGGCGAGGATGCGGTTATGGCGTTGCGCCACAAAGGGCGCGGTGGTGGTCACGCGGCACGGACGGGCGCGGAACGTGGCGTGCTCCTTCTTTTGCTCCTCCTCCTCCTTTAACTGCTCCAGTCACACACGGGTAAACACACACACACACACAGGTGCGCCAATTTAGGGCTTGATAATATATACATTATCCTTGAAACCTAATTGGTCCACACCAAAGACTTTCTTTAGAGCCCAGTCTCAAAGCGTTAGACCAAGAGAACGCCAGAAAGCGAACAGCACAAGACGATGCATTATCAGAGCACTGAAAGCATGTTCTTTGTTTGCACGTTCACCACAAGCACGTGGGGGGTTTATGCAGACATGATTCCTTGCAAAAGGTGTCCGTTCGGTGTTGTGACATCTTAACACCCGTTTTATAGCCAGGAAAAAAAATGGTAAAACATATTCTTATAACGTCCATCATGACCACGCACTAATGGCATGCACTGGAACAATAAACTATACAACTACCAAGATGTTTATTTTACCAGGCAAGGCCCACTGAGCAATGTAGCTCTTGTTCAGAAGCGACCTGGCCACAAATGATAGCTCAACGAAGTGGCTCATCATCATGTGGAAATTTATAGCAGACAAATACTCTAAACGCACGTCGTTTCTAAAATGTGGAGGGGAAAAACCGGAGGACTCGGAGAAAAAAATCCATGCAACCACAGGGGGGAAGAGACAAGCAAACTCCAAATAAACAGCAGGTGTCAGGGTCGGGATCGAACCCACGACCTCCTGCATACCAGGCGAGGCAGTTAACATCTCCTAGCCACCGTGATGATGCAGATGAGAGAGAGAGACACGCAAACTCCAAATAAACAGCAGGCGTCAGGGTCGGGATCGAACCCACGACCTCCTGCATACCAGGCGAGGCAGTTAACATCTCGCCACTGTTGCAATGTAATGGTAACTCCATGACATATGCAAGTGCCCGCAGCCCCCAGTTGCCGTGTTCAATTATGTAAACGAGGGCTCTGTGCGTGGTGCAACTCAAATGTCCAGCGAGACATTCTTCAGATGCATTCTGGGCGTGCAGCGGCAGTGAGTCACCTTCTTGTTGAACTGCTCGGTCTTGATGGAGCCACGTTCGTCGACGCGCAGGTGGAAAGGCTCGTGCTGGGTGAGCGGTCGCAAGTGCTTTTCTGGCAGGGCCACATGTTCCAGGTCGGGCACGGGCTGCGCCTTGAACTGGGGGACCTGTCGCACAAAGATAAACATCCCCCGTGTAGCCTTAACAGACGTTGGGGATAGACCCGTTAGCGAGTAGCACCTACGAAGGCCGGCACGGCACACGAGGTGGGTGGGAGGCCAACACCACGCCCGGCCGCCTGGCGATGTTTACACACCGCACGAGGTATTCATTTGAGGCCAAGTCGACCTAGGGGAGGCCCAGGATCGGTTTGGATAATCGTCACTGGTTTTGACCGTGAGCGGGAATCGCACTCGGGCCGCTGGATTTGTAGTGCAGCGCTAACCGCTCCACTCCTACCGCTCTTCCAAACCTGCACCAATGTCACACATGCGCGCGTGCGCACACACACACACACCACATTGCCAAAACGGGTCAGAACAAAATCAGCAACACGAGCTCATTCCAATTGAAGTCATCGTCATCAGCCGTGGACAATCCACTGCTGGACCAAGTTCTCCCCGATCCGGTCCTGCGATGCAGCAACGGCTGCCACCACAGTTAAGCCGATGTCATAGCTCCCAACAACCCCGTCTCTCTCGACGTCCTCACAAACACGTTTCAACTCCTTGTCCGCTACTCCCGTCACCATTCCGGACCACCGCCGGGGCGGTCATCATCTCTTCAAGCGCTGTGCCCCAGCCCATCTACTTTCCTTAACGCTTTACCCAAGCTCTTACAACCTTGCTCAGTTTTAGAAGTGTGTCGACGCCTTTCTATTAGAACTTCAACGGTGTTGATTTGAAGCTTTCGCGACTGCAGGAATCCATACTCTTTGGTTCTTTCGGTAAAGTCACGGAGATAGAAAATTAATAGATCACGGCGTTTCGATCGCAACACAAGCAACCGTCTCGCCTGAAGACGGTCGCTTGTGTTGCGATCGAAACGCCGTGATCTATTAATTTTCTATCTCCGTGACTTTACCGAAAGAACCAAAGAGTATTAAACAGTGTTGTTTGTTTTGTGTCATTGCCAAGCAACCATTTTCAAAATACAAACCCTATTGGTCTTTGAGGCACACTGTACATCTTGTCTGTAACCCAGTCACACTTGTACACACGTGTACCCCAGTTCGACAAGCAGTACAGTGCCACAAAACGAGTACACATAAAAACGGGTACACGTGTCCATGCAATCCCACGGGCAAATCCTCAGGCACATCCTCTCGCTTGACCGCCCCCCCACCCTCCCAACCAACCAACCCCCACCCACCCAACCACCCTCCCTCCCAACCACCCCCACCCACCCACCCACCCACCAACCACCGCACCTGCTCCTCCAGCTGGCGGATCTCCTGAATGCGACGCTCACGCCGCTCGGCCCGTTCCTGGTCGCGAGCGTCGAAGGAGAAGGGCTCCGGCTCCACCGTGCGCATCTCTGGCCGGGGCTGGAAGGGCAGCCCGAAGTGCGGCATCGGGTTGGCTCTGGTCACAGGTCGAGGTGCCTCCAGCTGCTTGAATTGACAACAAAGACAAAGGTTCCCCCCACCATGCAGCCTTAACAAGACTGTTGGGGCAAGTGCGGTTAGCGGCACGACCTGGAGAAAAACACAGGTCCTTCGGTGTCCAAATGCTGCTTGGATTTCTCTCCGGGTCCTTTGGTTTTTCCCTCCACATTTTAAATCAACATGCGCTTTGAGAGTATTTGGCTGCGAGACATGTCCACGTGAGAAGCCACTTTCGTCAAGCAATCATTTGTGGCCAGGTTGTTTCTGAAAAACGAACTGCTAAAATACAAAATAGACCCGGAGGAAAATCCACACGACCACAGGGAGAACGTGCAGACTGCAAATTTACAGGCGTCAAGGGGTTGGGATTGAACCTACGACTTCCTCTATACCGGGCGAGGTGGTTAGCATCTCGCCACGGTGGCGATATGCGTTAGTAGCCAAGACAACTCAAAAGCACCGGTCAAAAACAAAGGGAGTACCGATAAGTCCTTGCGGGTGAGCACACGATGCTTGAGAGTAAAAGCCGGGGACTCCGGGATGGTCATGGGTAGGGTCGCCTTCTCTGGCACTCCCTGCACAAGACACGGGACGTAATACATCATCCGCCGCACGGAGCCGAGCGCAAGTTCCAGCAATGGAAGACGACGACCGAGCAAACGTTCCGCAAAATTTTGCGGGTGGTGTCCAGATCACAAGTCGTATCAAACGTCCTCATTTTCAGCAACACACAAGGGAGGTGAATTAACACGGCACACAAGACTGCGCTTGTGAAGCTCCCACGGGGGATTCTGCAACTCGTGGACTAAAGCGGCTCTCGTGTGGCCCGATGGAGAAAAGTGCACCATTGTGGTACCAAGGAAACCCACAACGCTCCGTTCATAATCCGTAATGTTTAAGATGGGCCAGTGGAATCAATGGACAACCTCAATTATATATTGGCAGATTCAGGCTCCACAGAACTTGCAAAAGTGTGATATGTATTTCAATTGCACAGTTCTTTCAAATTAAATTAGTACATCTGGAATTTGCACCATTGTTCTAGCAGTTTCACAGTAGGAGGAAAATTTGCTGTGCGCGTTTACCCAATTAGGTAAAGCGAGCGATTTTAAAATGTAAGCAGACGCCAGCACACGCAGCTTGCACATTTTAGAAAAATCTCATGGGAATATTTTTTTTACGTCAAAACATGACGACTGCACGTATGTAGAACTTCTTTCGCACCGTACGTAAGCTAACCATGCCAATCGGAGCTGCAGTGTTGAGTTTATGGGCAGTGTTGAGTCTACGAGGAGCCCGTATTTCTAGATTTGAAGCTTTCGTGACTGCAAGGATTCACACTCTTTGGTTTTGTCGGTAAAGTCACGTAGGTTAAGAAAACAAATAAATTAAATCACGACGTTTCGGAGGCAACACAAGCTTCCGTCTTCAGGTGAAACCGTCAGCAAGTGATTTAATTTATTTGTTTTCTTTTTTAACCTACGTGACTTTACCGAAAAAACCAAAGAGGAGGAGTACGTATGTTTATACTGTATGTTGAACTTCTTTCTCTTAGTCAACCGTACGATAATTGTTTGGTTAATGTACCTGCAGTATCAGTCAAGGAGGCCACTGGGCCCGAACCACGTTTGCCAAAAACAAGCAGCAAACACGCTACCGCTCGCCATGTCACTGTCCCACGCCTCTTCTGTGCGGCCTACATTTTCTCTCTCAATTGTGCCTATGGAATAATCTCCGAACATTCAAATTCGTGATACCAAATGCCAAAATGCAGTGTCCTCCTGATCTCTTGAAGAAGAACAAAACACACGAGGCCGCTCCAAAACCGCATGCCGTCCCTGGAAACAAGCAGTTGCGGCGGGGTGGTTAAACATGTCAGGAAAGGTTTTTTAATTTGACCGATTATTACTTGGGGTTGTGTGTGTGTGGTGGCCAAAAACACCAAAGATCCCCCCCCCCTCCTCTCTAAAGTATTCCCAGGCTGCCGAGGGGAACGGCAGTATCGTGGGGGTAGTAGCCAGCCCAGCACCACGAACCCAGAATAAATCTAAATCAATTCACCATCGCGGCCAATGTCAGCGATTGGCCGTGGCCTTAAATTCAAACCTTGCGCAATGCGCAAACGTTGCAACGAGAGAGACGAAGGCGACCGGGTGTGGTGCCAGAAACCCCCCCCCCCCCCACTTTGCACCAATGCTGGCCTTCATTAGGTGCTCGTCGACAGCACTTGCCCCAAACAGGCTGCGTAAAGGCTACACTGGGGGCGGGAGGGGGGGGGAATATGATCTGTCGTCTGTGGTGGCGGCGGTAGAGCGCGTGTTCTCGCACCGACACTTGCTCCAGGATGGCGACGGGCAGTGGGCGAGCGTGGAACTGGTGCATGGCGCGCTCCTTCAGGCGCTCCTCCTCCTCGTGCCGCAGACGCTCCTCCACACGCTCGCGCACGCGCTGCTCGGTCTCCGCCGTCAGGCGGGCGCCCTCGTGCGAGCGGCAGCGGCGTCCGATGGGCACAGAGCCCGGCTCCAGCAGATGGGGGTCCAGCTTATGTGCCTTGAACTGGTGCCTGCGGAGCACACGCCATCTCCAGTTTGTACGCACGTTGGAACTTCTTATTTTTGCGCCGTACGTAGCCGACCGCGCTAATTGGAGGTGAGGGGAGGACAAACAAGTGCATAGCTCAAGTGGCGGCCTAATATCGGAAGGAAGAGCATTCCAGACAGCCGCAGAAGCGCATCTGAAAGCGCGGCAATGCAGCGACCGTCTTTTTTTGTGCAGCTCTGAATGGACGGGCGCCTCGAGTATTCCACACACACTAGCGTCTTGCTGCGCTCAGACAAGCCGCGTGGGTGTGCACGACGATGGTTCTTACACCATCGCGCGATACGCCGAGGTTTACGTGGAAAGTCTGTGGCGGTGCGACAAAACTTCGCACTGAAGGTAATCAAACGCATCCAACGCAGGGCCAGTTAAACGAGTCGGTGCGCACTGCATTGAGATGCTTAGTCGCAGCGACACACTGCACCAGCGGCGCACAACTTTAAAAGCCCGCGGACACCGGCGATACACTCGGCAAGCCGTTCACCACTCCGTATTCGCAACCGTGACCGTTACGCTTGCAAAGTTTCAAAGTCGCTCTTGCCCAATGCGCCCCGCACTCTATAAAGGTTGCACAGCCCCCTTTCCTGCACTACGTCCAGCGAGAGCCCGTGCATTGGCTGGCCCCCGGCACTCACGCTTGGATGCGCTCCAGCTCCTCCTGTTCCAGCTGCGCGCTGCTCTTGCACGTGGGGGACCGTTGGCGCATGCGCGTCACCAGGTGCGGCGTCATGGGCATCGTGCAGGAGTCTGGCCGGGCTGTTATCGGAGAAGGACCTTGGAGAGGGGGGGGGGGGTGGTGGAACGGTGAAGCAACGTCCATGTCAAAGTCACGCCAATTTGTACAGCATCCCACAGAATCGGTTTGTACCGTCGGCCTTCAACTGGCCCCTTCTTACGCACCACTTTATCAAAGGGCTGTAATTACCACTATCGCGATGGGTAATGTTGAAGCCAACCAACTGGAGTAAAAAGTAACCCGTAAAAACAAAGTTTTTCACTATAAATCCTTTATATGCGTGGCGGCTAGAGTCCTCTCGTCCTCTGGCTTGAGATGGCTGCCACCTATGGGTCAGATGATTGCCTGCCACCATTAAGCAATTGGTAATTAAATATTATTTATTTTTTCCTAAAAAGTGTAAAATTTTGGGAAAAAAATTCACAAAAATACATTATCACGCACAACGAGTCTGTGTGCAAAATGTCAGCTCGATTGGATCACGGGAAGTGGGTTAAAAAACGACCGAAAGATTTGCACGGTCCTAAGCAAGCAAGTGAACTTAATATAAAGGATTTAAAAATAAGTGTCACTTAGATTTATGATCTGCTACATGCTACAATATACAACAGAACATAGATTTACTCAATAACTTCCCAACTTCATGGTGGAGATTCTGGGATACAGAGACATTTCGCATTTCCACAAGGGGGGGGGAGTTGTCAGCGATGGATCTTCATCAGTGTGGTAGGACTGCACTGCTCCAGGTTCCAAGATACTTCCAAATCCTCACGTTGACAAAAAGGACACGCATTGCGAGTGGATAGGCCATAGGCCCGAGTAAAAATTGGTACCACCGCAGAAAGCAAAAGTATTTCGGCGTATCCATTTAGTTACACAGCTAAGAAGAGAGAATTACTTGACCACCCGCTAATTTGAAATGGTTAGCACAAAAATTTTTTTAACCGCTAAATGTATGCCACCCTGGGGAGATACCGAAAAGGTGGAACATCTGGGTCTGTGCTAATGGTCCATGGTGTGGGCCCCACGTTAGTGAGATGTTAACTACCTCCCCTGGTATACAGGAGGTCGTGGGGGTTCGATATCGACCCCGACACCCGCTGTATATTTGAGAGTTTGTGTGTTATCCCCGTGGTCGCGTGGATTTTTTCCCTCTGGGTCCTCTAGTTTTTTTCCCTCCATATTAATCAACACGCGTCAAGGCATACCATTTCCACACGATAAGCCACGTCGGTTGAGCTATCGTTTGTGGCCAGGTCGCTTCTGAACTAAGAGCTATATATATATATATATACACACACATATCACAGCTCAGTGGCCTTTACGGTGGTAAAAACACTGTTCCTTCGGAGTGGGCAGGTAGGAACTCGGTTGGACAGCGCATTCGTGCACGACAGAAAATATGCACGACACAGACAGACAAATAATCCTTGGTGGGCAGTGTGGAACCTGCTGTTCCTATCTGTAGTGGAGAGCACGGGGGTTCCTCAGGGCAGCAGTGGACGGAGCACGACTCTGCCTCACTCTGACTCACCCGTCTCCTCTGAGCTGCATGCGATTGTGTGTGAGTGAGTGAGCTGTGTGTACTGAGTGAGCCGTGTGCGAGTGGATTGACCGTCAGCTTTCCGTGGCTGCGTCTCCGGCGCTGTGGCCGTCATGTTGCGGGCTTCTCGGGCCTCCGAGGTGCGGGGCGCACCACAACAGGAAGTGGCCAGCTCGCAGTCACATGACGCACTTTAACCAATCCGGGAGCGTACATGTTTGGGAGAGGCTATGCACGACAGACAAATAATCCCTGGTGGGCAGTGTGGAACTGTTGTTCATACCAGTATAAACATTTTTTTTTAATTGGTTGCTGGGTATACATCGCAGACGTACCTTTCTCCAAATCCTTGCGGCTACGCAGGTGGAACCTCTGCGGCGTGCGCCGCTCAAACTCCAGCAGCTGCTCCGCCATGCTCTTGAATGCTGCAGTGCCCTTCGTGGGATGGCTGATCAACCTGCCACTCTGCAGCGCCTCTTCAAACTTGCGCTTGCTCCCACGAGTCATCAATTTGAACGGCTGGATCACCGTTCTGCTGGGCTGAGCCTTCTTCGTCTGTTGGAAGCCAGGATAAATCGCACACCGGATAATTTGATGATCAACTGTATTTCATACGGCACACAGCCACATCGGTTCCACTTCTTAGAAACGACCCGCGAGTGACAATTATCCGTCAACACTGCAAGCATCAAAACACCCAAGCTAATAAAGCGGTACGGGAGGAGGGGAATCTTGTAGAACTGGCGACAGCCGTGTTCATCGTCTTATCAAGCTCAGTCACTCCCGTCACTGTCAGGACCTCTTATCGTGGCAGAAGGGACTGCGTTGTGTCAATGTGGTTGCTGCCAAACAACATGTGCAAGTCATGTTTAACCCACAAAAAGGTCCCCCATTCTCTTGTCACTTTTGTACAGCTTCGAGAGGTTTTACCGTACGCTTGTGACCGGGCATGCTTTGTTCATCTGGCGCGATTCGATCGTCACAAACAGACTCTCACACATGTACCCAAGTCTCACTCGCAGCTTCACCTTATTATGCGAGATTCAACGCGTTTATGTAACGTTACGATAAGATTTAATCAATCGTTACATGCCAAGTGATGACCCATCGACAGACCACGTAAATCATTAAAATGTATAAAGCATCCTTAAACAATTGTTCTCAGCTATGAATGAAAAGGCAGAAATAGTTTAAGAGCAACCAAAGAAAGTAGTGAGAAAGACGTTTGAAAAGAATGAGAGAGAATGCCATTGTAAACAGATGCGTTTTTAGTTGAGATTTAAAGATTTGTCACGCCTCAGAAGTCCTGACCTCGAAGGGGCAAGGAGTTGTAGGGACAAAGACAATTTGGTTGGCACTATGCAGACACAAGGAGGGGGGGGGGGGGGGGGGGAGGCTCTCAGGGCCGTATTGCTCGACGGTCGTAACCTCATGGTGACGTACCGGGGAAGCGGCCGATGATTTGCGGAGGTTGGCAACGAAGTCAACGTGGTGATACGGCTCGCCAACTTGATCGCTCGCCTTCGCCCGTTTATCCGTGCGGAAGGTGAACGTAGAAACTGTGGACGTCACCGAAAGACACAGGGTGAGGTCATTTTAATTCCCCCTCCTTCGCCCCGCGTTAACGCCTCCTCTCATTTTCCGAACTATATCCTTGTACTGGTAGGAACCTCCTGGTTACACCATCCCACAGGGGATTATTGTGTCCGTCCGTCGTGCAGGGAGGGGCTGGGTGGGGAGGGGCTGGTCACCCCGTGGTGCCCTTATAAAACTCAACGTTTAACCTACTCATGCCGGCTTGTGCCCGACCTCAATCAGCCATATTTGCGGAATACACCACGCCACCGTTGACCCTGGCCATTGACCGAGCAACCCAACGTTCCTACCAGCTCCCTCCGCAGGAATGTGCTAAATGTTGCAATTTCGATACGACAGATGATGTTCCTTCCAGCTCAAATCCTGATCGTCTTCTTGAGAGACGTTCAAGAACAAGACGCGTTAATGCCGAGAGCCCGCAAACATTCCTGCAATATCACTTTAAACTTATTGAAACCATCATCATCATCATTCGATTATGGATTTGCATAAACTGCAAAGACTCGCACACACTAACGTTTTTATCTTTGTGCAATTCTAGTAATTATTCACAGGTACAAACACAAATGGCCACTGTGACTTGTAAAAACTACGGATTGTATAGGTCATATATGTTGTCACTTGTAGCAGAAGCGATTGATAACCCCACGTCCGAGGGAGCCGTCCCAGCTGTGCTTACATCCAAAGTGCCCCCTCCCCCCCGATTTGTGTGTTGTATGTATGTAGAACTTCTTTCGCGCCGTACGTAGCCAGCCGTACTCAAATCGGAGGTGTAGGGGAAGGGCAAGAGAGCGATGATTATATCAGGGTCTGCTAATATCCATTTTATATTCTACCAGCTGAACTTCTCTTCAGTCTCTGGGGCGCCTGCTGCTTGGCTTCCACTTTCTCAGGCTCCGGGTGCTCCGCCGACTTGGTCGACCTACAGCAGCAGCAGCAGCAGCACCACACGCAAACCTTGTTCACTACTCAAGTAGACGCAAGTTTTCTATAGGGTACTGAACTGTTATTATTTTTATTCTTAGGTTTTTTCGGTAAAGTCACGTAGGTAAAAAATTAAATTACTAAAAGTAATAATAGAAATATAATAAGAAATCACGACGTTGCGGAGGCAACAAGTCTCCGTCATCAGGAGGGGCTGTCACAGCTAAAATTATTGCATCAAGTGAGGCAAAATTCCAAGAGACCAGCCCTTAAATACAAGTTAAGGGGGGAGGGGCTTATCTGAATGTGGTAACCAGGGAATGTAACGTGTTGGGGTGGTGGGCGGGGCTACAAGAGAAATTGGCGAACGTCGTCAATGTGTACAAGAGAACAATCAGTGTACCTCGACCTAAACCGGTGTTGGTTGAGAATCCAAATACAAAAAAGCAGTACTGTTATTATTTTACCAGGTAAGGCCCACCGAGCTATGCAACTCTTTTTCTCAAGTCACCTGGCTATCTCAAATGATGGCTCAACAAAGTGGCTTATCGTGTGGACATTCATAGCAGCCAAATACTCGGAAACGCAGGTCGATTCTAAATGGAGGGTAAAAAACGGGAGAACACGGAGAAGAACCACTCGACCACCAGGGAGAAAACGCGAACTCCAAATACACAAGCGTCAGGGTCGAGATCGAACCCACGATCTTCTACCAGGTGAGGCAGTTAACATCCATTAGCAATTACAGTAGAATCGTTATTTTTTCAACCTGTACACGTAACATGGCAAGGCTAACCTTAATTGTAAAAATCAATAAAGGTACAAGAGTTGCGGTTACATGTTTTTGGATGAATTGTTCACGTGTATGAAGATATAAATGATGTAAAAACTGTGATAAACAATAACTTTTCCCCCCCAAGGATGGTCAATAGTCTGACACCACCCCTCGACTGATCTCATGGTAGACACTCAATCCGTACTATTTAGAACATAAAAATGTATTAATGCATCATCAAATCACTAATAAACTAACAATACAAGTAGACCTGACATTGCATTAAGTGTCACTTGCCAAAAGAGCTATTGAAGACACAGATAATATATAATCCTGATTTGAAGCTTTCGTGACTACAGGAATCTATACTCTTTGGTTCTTTCACATATGTAGCCTTATTGTAGCTGCTCTCTCGCTAGTTCAGCAGTTCCACTGCTGGATGAAATTTTTTACGCCCAAGGACGACCGCTTGTGTTGCGATCGAAACGCCGCGATTTATTTATTTTATACCTACGTGACTTTACCGAAAGAACCAAAGAATATGGATAATACAGACAAGTCCCCGAGTTACGATATTTCGATCTTACGATCGCGATACGATACGTTTTCAATGCATGTTAAAAAGTTTTTATAGCAGATAGGATTGTTTCCTGAAAAAAACGTTCTATTAAATATAGGTAGGCTAAGAATTTACCTTGTTTTTTTTAGTTTACATTTTACTGTGCAATACAGTATTGTAATTAATAAATACATACAGTATATAGTTTATACAGTACTGTAAATTGCTCTGTTTTGCTAAATTATCACCATTCTTTAGGACTCCTGGGTAGGCGATGACATCTTCGACTTACGATATTTTTGACTTACGATGGGGTCGTCGTAACGCATCTCCATCGTAAGTAGAGGACTACCTGTATATACACGACTCTGGTAGTTGATCCTTACAAGACACTAAAATGTGTTGCGTATGCTGCGGGCTGGCTGTATGCACACCAAGTACCTCAATTTCGGCTGGGCAACTTCAGCTGCAGAGCTTTTAGACAAAGATCCCGACCTAAACAACAACAAAAATATTCAATATGATCATAGGTTTGATTAGAACAATTTCTTCCAAATATACTATGCACAGAAACCAAAAATAACCCCGATTTTGTCAGCAAATTTCAAACTAAACTTTTTCTTCTTTCACCGCCCAAAAAAAAATGTTGTGGCTAGGATATCAAGCCCTCCAAAACGTGTGCTAGGGCACTGGTTATCCCTTGAAGCAGGCTGTAATCACCAGCGAACCGATGTCATCATTGTTGGCAATATGCACGGAGCAAAAAGGACGGTCTACTTTGGGAACATTGGTACATTGCTATTAGCTCTTACACAACCTAATTTCTAGACATTCTTTTTACAGTATTCCTATCAGCTACCTCTAACCATTAAATATGATTTAACATTAAAAAGCACACGAACTGACCACAATTATAGTACTAAATTATATCTTTTTTTGGGTATACACACCACCTGTTAGGACATACGGTTCAGAAACATGGCAATTTTAACATGGAACAAACAACTGAATCGTGTAGAAAGAGTAATGCATGCTTGGAATTATATTGAGAGACAGAAAGAGAAAACACGGATTAAAGGTGTATCAGCAGGTTAAGGACGTTATTAAAACTTATGAAAAGCGGGCTGGGGTAGGAAACGTTGCAAGGAGGGTTGGCCGATAGTCACGAAAATTGACAGCCAATGAACAGAACGCAACTGAGAGTACATGTCCTCCGCAAAGATGAGGAAGCCTTCATCTAGCAGCGGTGCGATCATGGCCGACGATGACGATGATCAGGGGTCGGCAACCAATATAAGGAGAGCAATTTTTTTTTTTCGAATTCAGTAAATACAAAAAAACCTCCATATTTCAACAGCCACAACACGCGCATGTGCATAACGTCACGAAGTGGTCCTTAAAGATTCTAGATTTGAAGCTTTCGTGACTGCAAGGATTCATATTCTTAGGTTTTTTCGGTAAAGTCACGTAGGAAAAAAATTAATAAAAGTAAAATCAAATAAAAATCACGACGTTTCGGAGGCAACACAAGCTTCCGTCTTCAGGTGAAACCGTCTTCACAGCACGCGTGAAGACGGAAGCTTGTGTTTGCCTCCGAAACGTCGTGATTTTTATTTTATTTTACCTTTATTAATTTAAATTTTTTACCTACGTGACTTTACCGAAAAACCTAAGAATACGGTCCTTAAAGACTCCGGAGCCGCAGGTTGGCGATGTCCCCCTGAGGATGACCATTATGAAGGCACAAGGGCATCAGGATCCGCACCTTTTGCTTCTCTTGACGGCCGGAGAAGAGACTCTGCTGCTGGCAGTGGACGTGACACTAATTGTGCGTCTCCCTGCACGGATGTTGGTCAACTGCTTTCGCACCGAGGCACGATTCTTCTGGCCAGCCAACGGATCCAATCTGCGCACGAGGGACGATACACACACGCTGCAATGTATAGACCCTCAAACGAATAATCATCATGAATAAAAACAAATAAAAGGGAAGAACATACGTAGGATGTTGCCAGAGTAATTGACCACGCGTCGCCGCACTCATTGACATGTTAATTTTTTCTCTAACCCCTCCCTCTCTCCGCCCCCCCCCCCCTCTGTCTATTTAAGGCCTCGCCACAGAGACGATCTCCGTCTCTGTGCCTGTGTTACTCTCTCTATGTATCTTGGTGATATCTGTCTGCTTATATGTCTGTCTATAGTTTTCTGGTTAGATTTTTGTTGCTATTTCATTTATACCTGATGATGATTGCTTGTGTTGCAATCGAAACGTCGTATGCTATTATTTAATTTATTATTTTATCTTTATACGTGACTTTACCGAAAGAACCAAAGTGCTAATTTACAAATACACTTTGCTTCCCACCCACCCACCTAACCAGGGTGAGAAAAAAAATATTAGGAACGAAATACCCTCACAGAAACAAACTTTATCCCCCCCCCTTGACTGTTGCGATTAAATCAGAAACCTCCAGTCACATTATCAAACAATTCTCCCCTTCATCTCAAACCAGGTTATAAGATGCATTTTCCCATTCCTGTATTTTACACCAAAAATTGCGCGTACATCTTATGCACCTGCTTTGCAGCACCTCCGATTAGCACGTTTGGCTATGTATGGTGCACGCGAAGTTCAACAGTACGTACACACACACACACGCGCGTACCTTGTCACAATAGCACTCCGGCGGGTGGCGGGAGGAACGACAGAAGCCACTCGAGCGCCTGCGGTAACGCCAGTGCGCCACTTCGTCACAGACCTACACAGGTTGAAGAGGTCTGTGCCTGGCTCACGAGTTTCTTCCGGATTGTTTTCTGCTTCAGACCGAGCCGCCACCACACTCTTCTCTTCCGACGACTCATCGTCGTCATCACCACAAAGGTCTTCCTTGGCAGAGCCGTTGCCTTCCGCAGGCTGTTGGTTCTCTGCGGCTTCACACTGGTTTACTTTCGCTTCTTCCTCGCGCGTTTCTTCAGCAGGACAAGCAACGTCATATGGTGAATTTCCCACACGCATGGGGATGATGTCCGCTCCCTCCTGCACGGTATCTGCCGCGCACTCAACATCCATGCTGCTTACGGATGCACGATCACCGTCACTCTTTTCAACTCGGTTAGGGGCATCAAGCATGTCACCTCCCTGGTCCGAGAATTCATCTTTAGCAGGGATCATTGCTTCCATCGCCAACTGTGCAGCAACACGACTATACCCTTCTGCAGGCTCAAAGGTGCCCGGAAGCTTCTCAATACTTATCTGTGGAATGTCAGCACGGGTTTCCTTCGCGACTACGTTGTCTGCAGACTTGGCGCTCGCTGTCGCCGCGTCTTCGTTTCGCTTCGCGAGGGACTCGGCATTCGACGCCGTTCCCGCGCCTGCCTCAGCCTCAACCTCCTCCTCATCAAGCATCTCTTCATCCGGCAGTTCTGCCCCCTTGTCTAGTGATAAGACACCGCACCTCCGATTAGCACGGTTGGCTTCGTACGGTGCCAAAGTTCAGCATACATTCAGAAACTCAAAATTAAAACGTGCGTTTCGTCAAGCAACACATTCTTTCATGACGCATGCCCGTTTTCTAGAAAACATGCATCTTTAGGGAGACGTATTGTGATATTCGATTGAATACTTTTTTATATACAATATAATGGAATCGCTCCATAAAATAATGTTCATTCATCTATGTTCATCGATATCTGTGATATTCTTGATCGGAAGCTTTCGGTAAAGTCACGTAGATAGAATCTATCTACGTGACTTTACCGAAAGAACCAGAGTGTATCTGTGATATTAATAATCAGTGCTGTACTAAACATCAATTACATTCAGGCAAGTGGCACAGACAATAACCGCTTTATATTGAAACATTTAAATTAACCCCCCCCCACAAAAAAACCCCACAATGCTAATGCCTGCACAGGAGTTGTGAAAACGTACGTTTCATGGCCAAACCAGGAAATATTTTATGTTGTACCTGAGTCCACGTTGCTCATCACCGGCAGGTCCTCCACAAGAAAATCAGCCCCATCGTGGAAAGCCTGGTGGTCCTCTTGTCTGTTATCTATCCCCACGGAGAGAGAAGCATGTGCAGCATTAAACATCGGATAGGTGACCACAAAAACGGGTGTTACCTCGGCTACTGTCCACGCTATACGTTGCGGGCACAAGGCCGCGATGAAAAATCCGGTGTTGTACTGTACATTATAAAAGGTCGCGCACTCATCACGCACAAAGTTCTTGCCACAAATGAACCACGATTTAATGCCCATCTCGTCAGCAAGCAATAACCATGCCACGAACTTCAGCCATCCTCGTAGCAGCAGCTTTTGTTTAGCCATCAGACAGAGATGGCACGCTTTCAGATGGGATTCTGCGGCCGTCTGGAATGTTCTTGCGTCCGATATTAGGAAACCGCTGGAGCTACGTACTTTCAAATCCAGATTGGAAAATAATTTCCTTAGAATGGATTGCGTTTAGTTTATTGTCCTCACCCCCGCACTTCACCAACCTGTACAGACCAGTGTGAAGTATGGTCAGATCCAGAGATTGACAAAAGGGCTGCATATGGAGCAAGGATTTTAACTTCCCTCTGCATTCCCCTCATGTGATAGAGAACGTGTGCAGCACGCGCACAATACCCAGGTCACATGCAACATTTAATCAAATGTACTACAATGGCCTTTGCAGGGGATAGCCTAATCGAGTCTCATGACTAGATCTGTATATGCATGCATTGGGATGTGTGGCCTAAAACTCCTTAGTGTTTTTGCATTTGGTAGTAAACTGGCGATCTTGGAGAAATGCCACTCAAAGCTCCGCACCGATTGAGTCAATAATTAATATCTTCACTGGCATCTCCCTAGCCATATATAGCAACGCAAGCCCATGCATATGGTGGCTTTAAGTAGTCTCCCACGGCACGCACACGTTGTACAGTAAAACACAATTGCACGGAAGGGTTAAAGATGGGCAAGTTTAAATTATTGTGGCCTTGTTTTGCTTGGAATGTCAGCTTATAGTAAAAGGCTCCACGTTGCAAAACTCTCGGTTCAAATCTTTGCCAGGGCACAATTTGCCAGGGTCAAATGTGCCCAAGCATATACTGGAACAGCTCCATAAATAACCAAGGGTTTTTGGGGGTGAGATCACGTAAATAAAGTGTTGTTAACCCACCACCAGAGCCAATTAGTAAGGTCCGTCACGTAAACAAAACGTGGACACAATTAGTTGCCAACACAGCACACCGGTGCGTTGGAGAGTAAAAACCAACTACAACATTCACAATTTGGGAACGACGTTTCGCTGGCGATTTCAGTAAAATCAAACCGAATGCAACAGCTGACAATGGGCCATGCAGAGGGACGCGCTGTGTTTGGGAGGGAACATTGCAAACTATGAACCCGGCAATCGGTTTGTTCGTTTTATACTAACAACGGGTAACGTCGGCGGCGAGTGCTATCCAACAAAGGCTCCAAGCCACACTCCTTCACCAACTCGCATTAACCGGCGTGGCCCCACGTATGGCCAAATCCGCGTCTGTATGTTGCAACTTCTTTCGCACCGTACGTAGCCAACCGCACTCATCGGAGGTGCGAGAGGAGAGGGGGGGGGGCGAAGGACAACAACCTAAACACAGTTGTAAAGGAATGAGATTTTTTTCTATGTAGATGGGAGTGCATTCATATCGGAAAGGCGTTCCATGCGCGCCATTCACCCAGCAACAAGGCGCTGCGGAGAGGCCTTCATCCAGCAGTGGATTGACGCAAAGGGGCTGAAGTTGTATTATTACACACAAACTGATGCATTTGCTATGGTCCCCGTGTATAATGGTGGGGGGATTATCCACCACCACCACCACCAACCCACCTTGCGATGTCAACTACGCGGGTGCCAGAGGACCGCTGTTGCGCACTTTCAAAAACATGGCGGGAGTTATCGGGCGCGTATATTTATTTAAAAACAAAAACAACCCCATTGCGTATTAACAATTAAGACAGAAAGGCAGAGAGACACGAGGGCGGATGCACAAGGCGTACGTTCGACTGTAAGAAGAAAGCGGTTCGTGACGAGCGGCGAAGATGGCCGATCGTCAAGACGATTAGCACCAGAATCAGCACAACGCATTAGCAATATATTATCTCGTCTTAAGCCTTTTACAACACCGCATATAAATTGTGACCATCTCAAGGATCGGCGAGGGTTACGTTGACGGCGGACCACCCGGTGGGAAGAGGAGACATCAAACGTAACAAGAGGACCGACATTTGAAACATCCTCACACGAAACTCACCAAACCACGCGTCCGCGTTGTCGTTGTCCACCACGCTGCCAAAGTCGCCGCAGGTCGGCGCGTCGAAATCGTACACGTATTGGTTGCTCATTGTCGCGAGAGAGAGAGATGTTATATTATATACGGCGTAAAATCCGCTACGAAAACAATAAGAATTTAAAAAAGTGGTCCCACCAAAGGCCACCGACCACCGCCCTCCAAACCAGGGCCCCGTCACTGGAAGTTAAAAAATTTAAACGGTAACGGCTGCGCGATTGGACCAATCAGGACGCGGCAGCGGCCAAACGGAGCACGCTGATTGGACGGACCCCAAACGGAGCCCGCCGATTGGACGAAGCCTCCGGCCCCCCCACCCCCACCCCGCCCCACCCCGCCGCGGACGAAACCAACAGCGCTCTCCGTTCAAAAATACGAACGTGGGATACTTTTTAATTTAATTTATTTTATTAATTGTATTCTTTTATTATGTTTTATTCTTATTCTTTTATTATTTCCCTTCTACGTGACTTTACCGGAAGAAACAAGAAGACGAATGCCTGCAGTCACAAAAGCTTTAAATCGAAATTTTAGTCGGATACGTACTTGCATTATATACCGTTTTGTACTCGTTTCGTTTACAATTTAATCAAAGGCGCAACAGTGTGCGCTTATAAGTTTACGTAGAAGTTAGAATGTTTTATATTAGATGCGGGCAGTGGTTTGTTTGTAAAGTGTGACCCCCCCCCCCACCATGTTAAGGTGGGGGGGGGGACTTGGTTTCGTCCACATTCGTTAACAACGCTGCCTGAAACACCCTGTACACAATACACACACAATGGGCGCAGAGGTGGAAGCTTTAAGCGACGTTTCGGGCGATGGCCCTCAAGAAGGAGCATTACTCGAGACGTTACACACATATATAAACGTCCTTATAAGGCCACGGTGTTATTAACGCTTTTGTTTTGTTAATTATATTTGTATATCAATGGCAATGCATCATTACCTAAACAATCTTTACTGCTGTAGTGCGATTATAATTCTGTAATATAAACTAATACAGTATGTGCAATGCGTTATTTATGCTCACGGTACCAGAGCTGTGGAGTAAGAATAAATTATACTGGTAGGAACCCACTGGTTCCACCAGCCCACAGGGGATTATTGTGTCCGTCCGTCGTGCGGGAGGAGCTGGGTGGGGAGGGAGGGGCTGGATGGGAGGGGTGGGGCTGAGTGGGGAGTGGCTGGTCACCCCGTGGTGCCCTTATAAAACTCAACGTTTAACCTACTCACGCCGGCTTGTGCCCGCCCTCACAGTCGGGCATATTTGCGGAATACACCACGCCGCCGTTGACCCTGGCCATTGACCGAGCAACCCAACGTTCCTACCAGCTCCCTCCGCAGGAATGTGTTTATTTTTTTAAATATCTACGTGACTTTACCGAAAGAACCAGAGAGTATGGTTTCCTGCGGTCATGATAGCTTCAAATCAAGAATGCTCTGGTAATATATGATGAATTGTCTTTGAAACTGATTGGTCCATTCCAGAGACAGCTTTCTTTCGAGCCTCGTCTCAGTGTCAGACCAGAGGACGCCAAAAGGCGAACAGCACAAAGACAATGCATTATGTATTACCAGAGCATGTTTTTTGTTTGCATGTTCACCCCAAGTATGTGTGGTTAATTCAGACATGATTGCTTGCAAAACGTTTCTGTTTGGTGTTTTAACATCTTAACACCTAAATTTAGCTTTCAACCTATCGTGACTGCAGGGATTCATATTATTGGTTCTTTCGGTAAAGTCACGTAACTTTACCGAAAGAACCAAGAATATCTTAACACCTATTTTATTTCCAGAAAGGGTAAAATCTATACTTTATTAGTGATCAGACCTTGTTGGTCACGCCGTGCCCTTATAAATCTCAACGTTCCTCCTACAAAGCCCCATCACAAGGGAGAAACACAAACAAATACACGACAATTATATTTTTGCCCGTATTGAAACGGCTGTACGCCGCATGTACCTGCAAACTCAATGTCCCTTTACAAGAATACGGGGTAAACCGTATGGGTTGGCAGCTATGCTGTCATGATGCTCGAGTTCACTGCAGCCTTCGTCATTACTCAGCTACTCTTGACTCAATAATCTATTTGGCTCAACCACATCGATGTAAATTATATGTGCTGTGGTTGTTACTCTTCATCAACAGCTTAACTCGGGGTTTCCTGGAGGCAGCTTCGTGCTGAGCTCACCTTTGCCTTCGATTATTTAAACTATGTTGTCGCTATAAATGTCCACACAATAAGCCAGCCACTTCGTTGAGCTATTTGTGATGGACAGCTTGCTTCGGAAAAGGAAGCTAATAGCTCGGCGGGCTTTACCTGGCAAGATACAAATAATCATACTCTTTGGTTCTTTCGGTAAAGTCACGTAGGTATGAAAACAATTAAATCACGACGTTTCGGGCGCAACACAAGCGTCCGTCATCGGGTGGGAAAGCATGGTCTGCTGTTGAGACATACTTTTAAAGAACCAAAGAGTATGGATTCCTGCAGTCACGAAAGCTTCAAATCAAGATACAAGAAATTGTTGAGTTGTATTTGTATATTTTGTGTGTGTATATTTTTGAGTGATGTTACTTTTCCTATACTTTTCACTCCTTTAGTGTTGTTGTATTGTGTGTCGTAACGTTCTGACCCGCCCCTATTGGACATATTCTTAGGTTTTTTCGATAAAGTCACGTAGGTAAAAAATTGTAAAAAAGTTTAATTAATAAAAAGAGCTTTATAGCTCATCGGATTTTTCCAGTATAAAGAATCCGATTATGATTAACATAGTTTGCCCGATGTCACCTTATCTCTCACCCGTATGGGAAGCCCATGGCAAAGTCACCCTCGAGGTGTCACCAGGATATTAACTCGTGTGTGGAAGATCAGGGGCTCGAGTCAATGTTGTCTGATAGGAGCACAGGTGGTGCATCTGTCAGTCAACCCATGGCACCTGGGACCTGCCAACAGCGAGCCTTCCCCCACTTCACGTGGCCTCAACGTGCACCTAGCCTGGCACAATCGCAGTGGGGACGTCACCTCCAGCATTGTGGCGAACGGCGGTTATTATTTGTTGATGATGATGATCGGCTCCCCCCAGCTAAGACCACAGGCTCACCGCAGCCACAGGTGCTGCAGCCATACAGATCAGCCGTCATGGCATTACACATCAGCTGTGCATGTGGCATTCCCTGTACAATCTGATGGCTACATGACTGTCAACCCATACGGTTTTCCCGTATTCTTGTCCAGGGAAATTGAGTTTTTAGGTCCATACGGCATACCGCCGTTTCAATACAGGCACATTTTTTGGTCTATTTGTGTTTCTCCCTTGTGATGGGACTTTGTAGGATGAACGTTGAGATTGATAAGGGCGCGGGGTGACCAATAAGGTCTGAATTGGTCTGTAATAAGGTAGGCACTGATAAGGGGTTGACAGGTATATGGCTATTTGCATCATATTTATCATGTCATTTTGGTTATCCAGCTCCCTACTTGGTTAAAACAAATGCAACTTGAACGTGTACGTTTCATCGACTCAAATGCATTTTCAGTCTACAAAATTAATCCACAATGGAATTAGATAAGGGATTTGGGCGTCTTGTTATGACGTAGTATGTGGTAAATGGTGTAGGAAAAACACAATTTTCTTTGAAATATTTGGTCTCGTTGGTTGGCCTCCAATTCGACTATCATTTGATTCTCTATGATCGTCAACAACGGTTTATATGCATGTGGCAAGATTCTAATGGGCCCGTGATTCTTTCAAATCAATGTTCTTTTTAAATAGCAAACTATTCATAACGATGTATTTTGGTTTATTTTTAACGGCTTGAATGAAGTGCGGGTTTGAGCGCCTCCTTGCAGAGTTTTTCAGCCATGTCACGGCGGACTGAATGGATATACAATGATGTATACACCATGAGTAAAGTACTATCTTCTCCAGAATGTGATGAACATTTTTTACATTTCAAAACAAAAGTTGGCGATGCATCTTATCATCAGAATGTTGTCTTCTTGAAGACATGTTTTAATCTAGTTGTTCGGAATCATCTTCCAGAAGACGACGCTCCATAGCAAAACGTCATGAGCCTCATGCTTTCATGGTTAAGCAAGTGTAATCATACTACATCATCACCCATAGTATAGGATACCACCAACAAATGTTCAGAATCTTCCAGAAAAGCTCTCCCCATGTTAAAGTATCATTTTTATTTTCACCTTCTAGAAAATGGCTCCCCATGGTACTATATTCTGCAGATTATAAAACCCAGTTTTTTTCAAAATGACCCCAACATTTGGGGTGGGTCTTACTTTGCGGACCATCCTTTAATCTTGAATATACGGTATATGAAACATCTTTAATTATTATGTTTTAATTCCTAACACCGTACAGCCATTAAACTTCACTGTAGACTTGGGTCAATAGTGACCCCCAAAAAGTCTGTTTATTGTACTAATTCGCGCTTCGATATATGAGACCTCACACCATCGTGGACTGGAAACAACCTCTTGAGATGAGAGGCCATGTATTTATTTAAACATTCACCTACCGTATAAAGACTAACGTTACACAAGTTTAAACTACGTCAGATAAAGAAATAATTACACTGCTTAAAATTGTCTATGCATAACACATCGCAAAATATGCAAAGTGGAGTCCAGCACAGTCATTGAAAATGTACGTGTTATTATGCAGAAAATACAATTTCATATACGTAAAAATCAGTAACGTTGCTATGATTATAAATTATTTAAATCTAAAGTAATTTTTGTACTTGGGTTTTTCCTGTCAGAAAAACGGTTTTGTGTTAACCAAAGCAGGGCACTTGTGTACAGCAGGACAAGACTTGCAACCCAGATAGCCACGTATATGGGAATACCTTCGTTGAATCCAACTAACATATAGTCATAAAAGTGTACCAGATTATTGTTTTAGATGTAAAATTAAAACGGTAGTTTCGTAATCAACTGCAAAATTTATAACCTCCATTTGCAGATAAAAACGTGCGGCTACAAAAGACAAATTAACATTCTGCAGCGACAACGAGAAATGTATTGTGACAGCACCTCTATAGTTGTGTAAACCTACCAAAGCTAGTTTATTCTTTTGGGCAGTGTCCGATTGTGGCCGCAGTTAAATGAGATGGCAAATCTTTGCTCGCGTTTTAGAGTCTGTGCGACCGCATAGTGGTGGTTTAA